GGCTCAATCTTAAGTTTATCAAACGACGAGAACACTTTTGTGCGCAAAAAAACAACAAAAATAACGACTTTATTTCAACTATTCACTTCCTTCTCCATGAGCCTGTAAGTCAGTTAACGTAGTGTGATTGCGTAGAGCTACGTCACACTATTGGCCGACGCTGGTCATGTGTGTGTGATGCGTGTGACGTACAATAACAGAAGCTTACGCTATTAAACTAGTAACCTGACTCGCGCAGAGGGAGAAATAAACCAATAGTTGAAATAAAGTCGTTATTTTTGTTGTTTTTTTGCGCACAAAAGTGTTCTCGTCGTTTGATAAACTTAAGATTGAGCCCCTGTAGTCACTTGGACTATTTTAACGATGTCTTTACTGACTTTTCGAGGACAGCAAGAGCCAGTCCCCCAAGAAGCCTATGGACTGTATACAGGAGCGATCTTAATATCTTAAATATCTTAATTTGTGTTCCGAAGATGAACGAAGGTCTTACGGGGTTGGAACAACATGAGGGTGAGTAAATACTGACAGAATTTTCATTTTTGGGTGAACTAACCCTTTAAGTCCCTCCCCTCCGCTTCCGGCTTATGGGACTTTATTTCGGAAAAAATATGTATGTTAGTCAATGGCGACAGACAACTTATCTTATTATTTAGTTTGAACTGTGCCCTGAATTACACATATGATGTTTGTCAATTTAAAAGATAATTCTGAAAGTCAAGAAAGTCGCAGTTTGTCATAAAACAGAAGAGTAACATTTAGTTTTGTGTGAAAATCGGAACAAGTCTAGAACAAAACACTCGTAACGTTACACTCAATTATGGCGGAAGTCTATCCACAAGTTTCCTACGCCCCATGAGGCCTTGCATCAAAAGTGGGCGCGACTTCCGGTTGGAAGTATACAAAGCGCGATTTGACATGCTTGACACTTGTTCATTCAACAGTTGACAGTCATTCAAGTTATAGCGATCCAAACTAGCTAACGATGTGGGAACACAACCTCAACGAAATTAAAAAAGGTGAAATAACAGTACCTTTACCCTCCGCAGTAGTTGATTGGGAGTATTATAATATAACATTATTAATAATCAATACTCATCAAGGCATGGTGACAGACAGTTGTGCGAGCTGGCAAACATTTAAAATAAAAAATACACACTTAGTCATTGTGCTTTGGTCGGAGTTTATTCAAAATTATAAATGAATGTGCTGCTTGAATACATTAACTGGCACATTTGGTATTCTGTCAACACAGGCTTTGATCCTGAGTTTAGGTGTAACATCAGTAGCGAACAGCCAATCACATGCTGATAGAGTTTATAGAATATTAAGAATTTAAACAAATGTACACAGGAAGATTCGTTGTCTTTTGGGAGGTGATGGAAACTACAGTCGTTGGCAAAATCACTCTGATTTCGTTTTCAGCTTATGTTCAAAACAATCACGTTTAAGCCACTGAATTAGTTTACTCCGGTTATACATACAACCGCGAACAGCACATGTTGTCCCTGAGCTCCGTAACGACATCTCTCATAAAGATTTGCGTCTTTAAATAGTAAAATAATTCTCCGAAAAACAGCTAGCCTCTTCGCTAACTAACACACAAAATACCATTGGAATGCTACTTCCGCCGCCTCACCGGAAGTTTCACCCACTTTATTTTTTACAGGAGCGCCCCTCGGAAACTTGTGGATAGAAACAAAGACTGACATTAGCCTCAGTAAAGTTAGCTTCATTCATTGAGAGAAAATGTGCACCTTCTGGGTTTGTAGTTTGTAATTACATATATTCACAGTCTTATACCTCAACGGTTTTACATCAAACTGCGACTTTCTTGACTTTAAAGTGTATCTTTTAAACTGACAAACATCATATGTGTAATTCAGGGCAAAATTCAAACGAGATCAAAATATTTGTTGTCTCTTGCCATTGACTAATATTTTTTTCAAAATAAGGTCCCATGGTGGTCGACCGGAAGGGGAGGGACTTAAACTCTCTATAAAGCTGTAGAACAAGAATTATTTTGAGAATTTTAAATGTTAAACTAATCCTTCAGCTGTCTAAGTTTAAGAGATTAGGCTGCATATTGTTGTTTGGGCTGCTCGGTTATCATCAGTTTGTACTTTTCAGCTGTTGCACTGATAGCACAGGAAAGCCAGGCATGCATTGTTCAAAGCTCTGTGTTTCCAGGAATATAGGCCAGATTACATGGAAAATGCTTCCCATTCCAACAGCAGTCAATGAATATGAGCTTACACATGCATTGTGTCTGACATACTAGGTCTTATCCGAAATAGTCACACGATTAAGTAAGCTTGTCAGATGGGGGGGGATGAAGTTCTCATAAGCGTGCGCGTGATTTGCATATTTATAATTGTTCAAAACTTCCTGGCTGTAGGGAATAATTCAGCATGTTTAGTGAATGGACGATCCCTTGCTCAGGACATGTGATGTCAGAGGTAGTTTGAAGGGGTTGGGCTCTGGGCGATGGTGAATTCTTGTGATGTTCGGGCAAAGCTCATACGGGCGGAGACATGAGCACATTCCTCTCCTCCCACCGCACACGCTCCCCTCGTGCCCATCACCACAGACACACGCGCTCGCTGGCCGTCCCCCAACACACACACACACAAACACACCCTGCACTAACATCCACTATAGTGCAAAGCCCAATACTGGATTAGCACAGCCAAGAACGCTAAATCACTCAGTCGACATGGTGATGATGGAGATCAGGGGTGAATCACTTCCTGTACAATATCAAAAACACATTTCATACAAAAAGTACATGTAGATATTATTAACCCTATAAAGTATCATATTTGACACAAAAATTTAAACTTTAGGCTAATTTAAACTACTTTAAATTTCAAACTAATATAAACTTTAGACTAATTTAAACTTTTTCAAACTTTCTGTTCCAAACTTTCACAAGCCAACTTAAAGTTTGTCTCGACACAAATTTCTCAATTATCAACATGATCAAAACTTTCTGAAAAAAACTAATCTACTAAACACAAGCCCTATGATTGATATTTTATACTTTTTTAGCAAGTAAAATGTCTTTTAGCATAATTGTGAAAACACCCCCCTCAGGTTGTGGGTCACATCTTTTTGCTGTGAAATCTTGAATTACTTTTTTATATCGAAAAACAAAAAAGTAACTTTCATATTGCTAGTAATATTTCACGTTGAACACTTTTTTTTTTTTTGAAAAATGAAGCAAAAGTCTCCAAATATAATCTTTCAGGCTTTTGAGGAACGTTTATTTGTTCATCTCGCAATCATCATTGCATTGGATTGCATTATGTTTCCCCCCATGATTAAAACTACAGAGCGTTGATAATAAATATAAGCATTCAGCACAAAAATCTCATTGATTTACATTACAAGCTATCAGAATTTCATCTCAGTTTTTGACAATATGATTTTAAATGGATAGTTTAAAGGGATAGACACGTTGAAACTAATTGTTGGTATGTTTTAGTTTACCTCAAGGGCATCCAAGATGTAGGTGTCTTTGTTTCTGCAGTTTTTTCAATTTTGATATTTTTAGGTCAAACCGTTCTTGTCTGTCAGTCATATAATGGAGGTCTATGGTCACCACCTCAAAGAGCATGCACAGAGAAGTCCAGATTAAACATGATTTAATGACTCGTAAATGTAAGTACACATTGATGGCCTGAGACACGAAACAAGCGGTTTGTGTGAGAAAACGAACAGTATTTATATCGTTTTTACCTCGTGTGACCACAGCCACGTCCAAGTGATCTGAGGGTGCGGGCACTTCGGTCTGCGGAAGCACCGGAAAGTGAATCTCCGGAAGTGATCTGTCACGCGTGTACGTCACTCATTGTTTAGACAGAGATTTCGGAAGTGTTACCCTTCACTGTGAAGATCTAAACATATTTAGATATACAGGAAATTGCAATGGAAGACGATTTCGATATATCAACAGACAACGTTGAATTTTTTTCGCAACCACGCGCAAGATCACTTGGACGTGACTGTGGTTACACGAGGTAAAAACGATATAAATACTGTTCGTTTTCTCACACAAACCGCTCGTTTCGTGTCTTCATGTTTAATCTGGACTTCTCTGTGCATGCTCTTAGAGGTGGTGACAATAGACCTGCATTAACAGACAAGAACGGTTTGACCTTAAAATATCAAAATTGAAACTACTGCGGAAACAAAGACACCTACATCTTGGATGCCCTTGAGGTAAGCTAAAACACACCAAAAGTTAATTTCAAAGTGAACTATCCCTTTAAGAAACAGCACCAAAATGCATATTTTTGTAATTTTGTTTTGTACTTTTAATTTGTTTTATCATTTGTTTAGCTTTAATATATTTTCATTTCAGGTTTAGTTTAGCACTTCAATGTATACTTATACAGTATTTTAGCTGCCAAGGCAACAGTTGTAATTGTTGTTTTATTTTATCTTAATTCCAGTTTTAACCCAGTTTCCATTCACAGTTTCTAACGCAGCAGTATATATATATATATATATATATATATATATATATACTGCGTTAGACTAAACTGTGAATGGAAACTGGGTACAGATAGATAGATATACAGATTAGAAGAGAAAACAAAGTGTTAGTGTTAATGGATCACGTGTTGCCATTAATACTAACTTTATTTTCTCACTCTAAATCTTGTGAGAAAATAAAGTTAGTATTTATGGCAACACATGATCCATTAACACTAACACTTTGTTTTCTCTTCTAATCTGTATCTATCTTTAAAAAAAAACATATAGTGTTAGACTGCACTGGGAAGGGTCACAGCACTTGCATACTGTTGTCCTATTGTTAGTTCAATTGCTTCTATTGCTCTCCTTGTTTGCAAGTCTCTCTGGATAAAAGCGTCTGCCAAATGATTAAATATAAATGTACATTTAAAGTTAAAGTTTTAAATAGTTAAAGTTTTTAATAGTTTTAGCCCACAAACACTGCTGCACAGTAAGATCAATAAACATGTAATTTCCCTCAGTAGAAACATCTCCATCGCCCTCAGCCAGTAACTGCACGTGTGAGCTCGGCCATGGAAAGTGTGCCGAGAACGGGGACTGCAGGTGAGTCGACTCTCTATGTGACTGTCAGGTGTCATGTTGGTGAGCTTTAGCAGACTGTGAACAGGTGAACAGTATTTACCTCTCGTCTCGTGTGTCAGGTGTGACCCGGGGTGGGGTGGCCCGCGCTGTGACGACTGCGTGCGGATGCCCGGGTGTGTTCACGGCTCCTGTCATCAGCCCTGGCAGTGCACCTGCGTGGACGGGTGGGGGGGCAGATTCTGTGACAAAGGTGATTCATTATTATTTTTTTTTTGTAATCTTTATTTCGAACATAAAAAGAAAGTATATATAAAAAAACAATGTTTAAAAAACTTGAGCCGCAAAAATATACATGTATAATTCTTCGCTGTTGACATACTTCTATTATATGTTTCAATTATATGTGCGACAATTATATGTGTGTTATTCATGACAACAGCTACTTCTCCCCGCAGATATTTACGTGTGCTCTAGAGAACAGCCGTGTCAGAACGGGGCGACCTGCGTCTTGAGTGAGTCGGGGGATTACAACTGCTTATGTCCTGAAGGCCTTCACGGGCGAGACTGCGAACTGAAAACTGGGCCTTGCCAAAAGACAAAGTGAGTGTTTTATATACAGTCAAACCAAAATTTATTCAGACACCTTCAACATTACTCACATTATCACAGTAGTTTAGAAAATGGTAATACAATATGACAACAACTCTCATATTTCATTGGTTTTGTCCATCCTTCTGTTAGACTGTCTCACAAATGAATTCGGTTAAATATCTGTCGGCTGTTAAACTTAACTACACAATTAGATAATACCAGTTCACGTCAACCAATTACCAAGTAATGCTTATTTTGTTCAGTCTGTGTAAAAAGGTCACATTAGCAATAATAATAATTAGGGTTGGGTATCGTTTGAATTTGAACGATTCTGATTCCGATTCCTTGTTTCGATTCCGGTTTCTAACGATTCTCGATTCCGATTCTTCTAAGAGGCAGGGTCAAAAAAGTTTAGCTAACCTTGCTAACCAATGGCCTTTCTGAAGGAAATACTCCTTCTGTAAAATATTTTGCATTTTGCAGAGATTTCGTTATTTTTAGAAAAGTGAAGCCACACTTTGGATCGCCGACGTAAGGTACTAATGTTCGACTCGCTTGGTTATGCCAACACTTCTGGTAGACGCTTCTTCGTTGGTGTTGTTCAGCGGTTTCTTCTTCCGCTCGGCGGACTGTGAATATCGAAACTAGGAATCGAAATTTTAACTTTTGAACGATTCCGGGAAAAACGAAAAGTTAGTCCCGGTTCCAATCGATACTCGATTCTCGATACCCAACCCTAATAATAATAAAAATCACTAAAGGAAAACATGGTCAGGTCAAAGTGTCTGAAATTGTTGGTCCCAAATTTATATACATTTTACTGGTAGTCATTGTATGAAGGATTTTTGGGTATAAGATGTCACAGTTTACTTTATTTTGCTCTCCTCACTTACATAAATTAACTATAGTGTCCTGCACACACTACTAGTAAATAAATACCAATACCGAGAATTTAATCTGGTGTCTGAATAATATTTGGTTTGACTGTGTGTGTGTGTGTGTGTGTGTATATATAATGTAAATGCATGCTCGTGTTTTCAGATACTCGTTTTTCTGAAAGTTGCAGAAGAACAGAACGAGTTGTTTTTAGTAGGACTTTCATTTACAATGAACTCTTTTGCGTGAGATCAGTGAATAGTGGATTGCTCATTCTATGACCCCTTTGAATACACATTTTGTTAAGCTGTAAATCTATTAGGACACAAGCCCAGACGCACTGGCACAGGCAGAACAACATGTAATTCAGTGGGCTCATTATTACTGGCCCTGTAAGAGTCTATAACACCGACACACTGCAGACCGGCCCGACTGTTCCTCCCAGGACGAGCAACACAAACTGAGTGTGTGTGTGTTACTGGTAAATGAAGCAGCAGGACTGGACCAGTTGCTGTTCTAGAGACACTAAGGGCCTCATTTATAAAATGTTGCTTAGAAACCGTCCTACGTTTGATCTTACGATCATTTCAAAAACGGCTACAGAAAATTCTGAGAAAAAAAAACGTGCATAAACCTCTCTGACAGATGTGAAAGTTATAAATCACAAATCATCTTGAAATTGTGTTTTCAGATCTCCGACTGGTAAACGCTGACTAAATAATGTAATTGACATTAAATAGCATCAGTCAACGCCTAAATGTTCCACTTAAGTGGCAAAAATTGCTTAGATTTCCAAATACTTGCAGTTCAAACTCTGACTGCCACAAGGAGAGTGTGTACGTCTGCTCAGACGCTGAGCATTTTCCCACGTAAAAGACCATTTTTATAAATATGAACGTTGGCGATAATAAAATCTGTGCATATGCATGTTTTATAAATGTATTTAAAAAGAAATGTTTAATTGTGATGTTCTGGGGACGTGTGCAATGTTTTTGATGACACCTTGTTAAAGTTTATTATGCAGAGATAACGATAAACGCATGCATTGACCGATTCCCTCAAAAGTATAAATCCTGTGACTCTTACGCAGTGTCAACATATTTGCAGATCAGCAAGCGATTCCTTTTGAGCACTGCTGCTGATTCATAAGTGCTTTTGATTCACTTAAAAAGAACCGACACATCATTTATATTTACATTATTTGGCACAAGTAACTTGATTGAATTAAACAAAGTGCCCAGTTGGTCAAATCATGCATTGCCTGGGAATCGAGCCCATGACTATGCTCGACTGTGTGAGCGACATTATACGCTCAGGAATCGGACTACACTGGTTATGCTGAATGTTTTTTAGGGTGTGTTCACACTTGACATGTTTTTTTTTATTAAAACGAACACTGGTGCGATTGCTCTGTTAGATTGGTTCATTTGAATAAGTGTGAACGCTGCCTTGTGCCACCAAACTATAATGGGTCTTGGTCTCGGGCCGCTTTCAAGCGAACCCTAGAGCGTTTTGAATTAAAGGGTTAGTTCACCCAAAAATGAACACAAAGGAAGATATTTGGAAGAATGTTTTAATCAAACAGATCTCATTCCCCATTGACTACCATAGTAGGAAAAAATACATACTATGGTAGTCAATGGGGAATGAGATCTGTGTGATTAAAACATTCTTCCAAATATCTTCCTTTGTGTTCAGCAGAACAAATAAACACATAGAGGTTTGGAACAACACGAGGATGAGTAAATACTGACAGAATTTTCATTTTTGGGTGAACTAACCCTTTAAATATAAACGCAACATGGACCGAAGACATGTACACGAACCAAAAATGGGACATGATGTCACAAGATGCGACTCTTTTTCCTCATCATAGTCGTGATTAGGGTTGGGTATCGAGAATCGATTGGAACCGAGAATAACTTTTCGTTTTTCCCGGAATCGTTCAAAAGTTAAAATTTCGATTCCTAGTTTCGATATTCGCAGTCCGCCGAGCGGAAGAAGAAACCGCTGAACAACACCAACGAAGAAGCGTCTACCGGAAGTGTTGGCATAACCACGCGAGTCGAACATGAGTAACTTACGTCGGCGATCCAAAGTGTGGCTTCACTTTTCTAAAAATAACGAAATCAACAAAAGGAGTATTTTTACAGAAGGAGTATTTCCTTCAGAAAGGATTATTTCCTTCAGAAAGGCCATTGGTTAGCAAGGTTAGCTAAACTTTTTTGACCCTGCCTCTTAAAAGAATCGGAATCGAGAATCGTTAGAAACCGGAATCGAAACAAGGAATCGGAATCAGAATCGTTCAAATTCAAACGATACCCAACCCTAGTCGTGATGTGCTCATCAGAGTTCAGCACAGGCGTCAGAACCGCATCTCCTCACTGCAGATCTTCGTTTGTTTGTGACGGAGGGATAACGCTGTTTTAACACTTTTACACATTTTATAAGCTCTTCACGAGATTGCAGCTGGTCAAAATACCATCATATGTAGCTACATACACAAAGAGCGCATTTATAACACAGCACTGTTTGGATGCTCCCTCACAATACACGTAATTAAAAGCCGACCATTTAGGTTGTGAACATCTCCCTATGCCGCCCTTTAGGTTCAGTGTTGCCAATGTGAATGTGAGCGCTAAAGCGGACCAGGAGGACTAAATTTTTTTTTTTTTCCCAGACCAAACAAATCAAGCGAACCGAAATACAAGTTAATTCACTAATAAGAACCGGCTCATTAATGTCATTCTCTCAGGAAGTGGACTTTACTGGTTGTTGTTACAGTATGTTCTAGTAGAGGTGTTATATCCACCGTATTTTACAATGTGGAAGTACATTTTACATTACATTTACATTTATTCATTTAGCTGACGCTTTTATCCAAAGCGACTTACAATTGCTATATATATCAGAGGTCGCACGCCTCTGGAGCAACAAGGGGTTAAGTGTCTTGCTCAGGGACACATTGGTGTCTCACAGTGGATTCAAACCCGGGTGTCTCACACCAAAGGCATGTGTCTTATCCACTGCGCCATCACCACCCCAAATAAGCTATTTTCTGTGATTTCCAAATTATTAGTTGCTAAAGGGAAATAAATAAATAATAACGAAGTGCAGTAAACAGTAAGACTATTTGCACCACAAACCAGTGTTTTTATACGATAACTCATTAAAATATTATGGTGAGAAATAGCAGTTAAAATCAAGCAGCATATAGTGCTGTTTTGTACAGCTGATAATAACTGGAAGTGTATGACATCAGAAGCCAGACACATTCAGCTTACAAATGTCCATGACGCTCTTACGTTTTTTTTTATATTTTTAATTAGGGCTGTCAAATGATTAATCGCGATTAATCGCATCCAAAATAAAAGTCTGTGTTTACATAATATATGTGGGTGCACTGTGTATAATTATTTTATATATATATAAATACACACACATGCTTGTATATATTTAAGAAATATTTTCATGTATATACTGTATAAAGATTTATATTAGGGCTGTCAAATGATTAATTGCGATTAATCGCATCCAAAATAAAAGTTTGTGTTTGCATATTATATGTGGGTGCACTGTGTTGAATTATTTTATATATATATATAAACACACACACATGCTTGTATATATTTAAGAAATATTTTCATGTATATACTGTATATAGATTTATATTACATATAAATATTTTATATATAAATTATATTTTTTTCTTAAATATACATGCATGTGTGTATTTTTATATATATAAAATAATTATACACAGTGCACCAACATATATTATGTAAAAACAAACTTTTATTTTGGATGCGATTAATCGCGATCAATCGTTTGACAGCCCTATTTTTAATGAAAAATATTTATAAAAATCAGTGCTCAGAAAACAATTGGTGACAATATGATTGCAGAAATCGCCAACCTCCACCTTTAAAACATTGTGACGGTAGCACAAAAAAACAAGCATAAGTGACATACGTTCATCCCTCAGGTCCCCCTGCAAGAATGGCGGTCTCTGCGAGGATCTGGGAGGTTTCGCTCCAGAGCTGTCGTGTCGGTGCCTGGCCGGCTTCACCGGGCCGCGCTGCGAGACCAACATGGACGACTGCCTGATGCGCCCCTGTGCCAACGGTGCCACCTGTGTGGACGGCGTGAACCGTTTCTCCTGCCTGTGCCCTGTGGGTTTCACCGGGCGCTTCTGCACCATCAACCTGGACGACTGCGCCGGCCAGCCCTGCCTCAACGGAGGACGCTGCATCGACCGGGTCTCGGCTTATCAGTGCCTCTGCCCTCCAGGTCACACCGGAAGAACGTGCGAGATTCCCGTCTGGGAGTCGGGATCTCAAACGTTGTCTCCTTTCAAGAGCGAAGAGAGCAAATCCGTTCTGGGGAATCACTCCCATTGGACGACTCCTAACGGGAACGAGAAAAGCTTGTTTAAAATCTCCGTGGTGACCCAGCGCGGGGCGGATGGGCTGTCGGAGTCGCAGCTCGTCCTCCTGCTGGTGTTGGGGGGCATGACTTTAGCCGTGGTGGCAGTAACAGCTGGTCTGGTGCTGCGTGGACAGTGCCAGGACCGATCGGCTCGCTGCCAGTGTCGACCGGCTCCCACTCACCAGCGCTGTCGAACTCACTCTGTGCAGCAGGAGTGCAAGATCAGCTTCCTCCAGCCTCCGGCCGAGCTCGAGAAGAAGAGGCTGAACACCGACATCATTTAGACACACGGATCGATCGGTGCAGCTGCTCTGTTGAAGTAAACGACCACTTCTGACCACTCACGAGATACTGGTACTGATGAATCTGAGAGTTGGCTGAATGCAGGTGGTTATTATACAGAGCCATTACACACATATAAAGAACCAATTAGTAGTTGGATTTTAATTATCAATGCCACACGTGAGGGCATGGACTGATGAGGGAACATTAGCACAGTTAGAGTCAACATGAAATCAATAATGCTCTTACCTGGTTGTGGAACATTATTCCCAAGAAAATGTACGGAGGCCCTAATGGGACATGGTGGTGGTGGCCAAAAAATATGAGATTAAAAATATGAGAAATTTGGCGTTCCCCCGAGAAACTTTGCGTTCGCTCGCAAAAAATGTTTTTGTTAATGAGAGCGAATGCAAAGTTTCTCGGGGGACATTCGCATGAGCATAATTTTTCCTCCAATCTCATATATTTTTTCTTCACCATGGCTCCATAGAAATGTTATATATATGTAATAACAAATGTACTGTAACACATGTAATGTAATTATCCATAAATGTAATATCTCCCCCTGCCTCTGAAAAAAAAAAAAAAAAACGTTCAGGCTGATCTCACCAGGCACTATTTTTGATGGACCCGAGAGGTGTCTTAGTCTATATTTCCTCTCCCAAAAAAATGTGTTGTATTTTTTTGGTCTTAATTTTTTCCCTCAATAAAAGCAACAAAATTGCTTGCGGTACAAACCTTTCCAACCAGAGACAGAATTAATAAGGTTACAATAAGGTTAGTTAACATGAAAATTCTTCTTCTTTTAAAAACAAATAATTTATTATTATATATTTTTTTAAAAATCATTAATCTTAATATTCATTACAACAATTACTAATACATTATTAAAATCAAAAGTTGTATCTATTAATATTATGAACTAACAATGAAAAGTTGTATTTTTATCAACTAACGTTAGAAAATATGAATAAATTGTAACAAATGTATTGCTCATTGTTTATGTTAGTTACTGCATTAACTAATGTTAAGTAATGGGACCTTATTGTAAAGTGCTAGCAAAAAGTTTAATACATAAATAGATAATTATTTTAGAGGAAATAAAATCTTGTTTCGTAATTTTCAGAGACTATTTTAAAGTAGTTCATTTAAAAAAAAAAAACTTTTGCTGATAATTTACTCACCCCCATGTCACCCAAGATGTCCATGTCTTTCTTTCTTCAGTTGAAAAGAAATTAAGGTTTTTGAAACATTCCAGGATTTTCTCCATATAATGGACTTCAATGGGAACCAAACGGTTCAAGGTCTAAAAGACACTTTCAGTGCAAACTGTTCAAAGGGCTTTAAACGATTCCAGACGACGAATAAGGGTCTTATCAAGCGAAACAATCGCTCATTTAAAAAATAAAGTTTAAGGTTTATAAGCTCAAATGCTCGACTTGCTCTGTTCTGTGTGACTCTCTATTCGTACTCGTTCATCAAAATGAACGAATCTTTTCCCGAGTCAACTCGTTCATTTCTTTCGTTAAATGAACCAAATGACAAGAAAAAAGATTTGTTCATTTTAATGAACGAGTTCAAACAGGAGGAGCACGAACACGCATCACAGAACAGAGCAAGGCGACCATTTGAGCTTATAAAACTTAAACTTTGTTATTTTTTTTTTAATTTTATCAAGCGATTGTTTCGTTTGATACGACCCTTATTCATCGTCTGGAATCGTTTAAAGCCCTTTGAACAGTTTGCACTTAAACTCTCATTTGGACCTTGAACCATTTGGTTCCCATTGAAGTCCATTATATGGAGAAAATCCTGGAATGTTTTCATCAAAAACCTTAATTTCTTTTCGACTGAAGAAAGAAAGACATGGACATCTTGGATGACATGGGGGTGAGTAAATTAGCAGCAAAAGTTTTTTGAAAAGTGAACTACTCCATTTATACAAACAAACTGTATTCAGACAAACTGATCAAATTGAATCTCACCATTTCCTTTTCTCTTGTAATATACTGTGTGTCACATTATGAAGGTAAGGTGGATGCAAATGCTGTTTCATGTTGACTTTAAGGTACACGCATCCTGGGTACTATTTGTTGATATGAGGTCTGTACTCAAAGAGTATACGGTAGCACTAATGAGCTGCATGTAAAATAAAGGGAAGCACTAAACCACCCAAATATATCACAACATCCATCGTGTGTTAAATTAGTGCTGTGTGTGTAATATCTAGCCACATTACTGGAGAAGCTCTTTTAATTTCAGATGTGTGTGTGTACACATTTTTGCCAAGTGTTCAAATCGTAAGAGTGAGCATATGCTACATTTTACATTTTTGAGAATATGTTTGTTTTATGAACATACTTTTTTAAATGAAAGTGTAAGTTCCCTTTAACACTATTGTGATGCTATTTTAAGCGGTTTAGATAGTAATATCAGTTTTATGGGAATGATCTTTGTGATATAAAATGATATATAAACAACAGTATTCTTAAGTGCAAATATAATTTATTTATGTAATTTATTGGTGAAATGTATATTTGTTTTTTTATTGTAATGTGCATTTTTATACAAAACTGTGTGTATTCAAGTTTTTAACAGTGTAATAGTTGAACTCCATGTCTAAATCACTCTATAAAACTGTCTTTAAATACCAGGTGTCATGAATAAATTATTATCAATTATCTTATCTATGCAATTTTCTTATCCATATCTAAGCTAAAAATGCTTTCAATAATAGTCATTATAGTTAATACTTATACATGTATAATTAAATGAATATATGTAGATATTTTTAGATTTATAATATATATATATATATATATATATATCAGGTAATTAATGAGTTATGTCGCAAGCCTGGTTATTAACTTATTAATCTAGGTTATTAATTTATTAATCTTTGCTAATGTCTTAAAAAAAGACAACAAGTGACCCCTGGTGGACATTTCAAAAACTGATAAATGCACTACACAATATGACCAAAAGTATTCATCTGTCTGGTTATCTCAGTTATATAATGTTTGTGTCATATACTAGAAATGACTACAAAACATTTATTTCTAATACTCTGTAACACCAGTGTTTTGATGGGACAGATTTATTCACATGTACGTAAGAACAGTGTAATTTACATTTCACAAAGTGATGTATTTACTTAATACTTATGGTCACCAAGGGAAAACTGTCCTACTGGCTTTCTGAAAGCAGAGGAGCAAGATGGAGTTGTGCTTATCTGTTATGATTCGTTGCTTGAAATATGCTCATCATCAGTTCTTGTTGATACCATCAAAATATTTCTCCAAAAAGCTCTCGACTTCATCCTCTGTGTAGTCCTGAACATGGAAGAGCGAGTTTGTCGAAGCTCCTCTGATCATGGCAGACAGCACTGGAGGGTGAGAGAAAAGAGGGAAGTGAAATCTGTCAAAACCATAAAAAAATCAACAGAAATTAATAAGAAATAACACATACACACACACAGGGCAAAAAAAAAAAACCATTTAAATTACATAGGCAATGTACATTACATTTGGATTTACATACGCAAATGTTGGATTTAACATTGATGGAAATCAAGGTGGTGATGTTATTTCTATCAAAAGGTGCATCAATGTTCGCTCAAGATCTTGTATTGTCAATGCAAGAGTCCAGCACTCTGTAAAGTCTCCTCCAGCACATCCCAAACACTTTCAGTGAATGTAGGAGCCAATTCATGTGTGAATTTGTTCTTTGAATTTGGGGTTTGTCAAAACATTTGGTAACTAAATAGAATTTTATGAAGTTTAGTGACAACATGTTACAATGTTTACATTGTACAATGACTGATAGGATACCGTTTTTATTATTGCTAGACAAAGATTTCAAGATCTCAATTCCATTTTTGTGATTTGATTCCCATTTTGATTCAATATTGACTAATTTGGATACATGTTTATTTAAAATTTTATTTAAAAAAATAATCTCACCTAATGCTGTAAACACAGAGGGCTCAATCTGCTGGTATTATTAAAGGTTTAAAATAAATTAAATATAATGCAGTTTTTGTTATAATAACAATTAGCCTATTTAATGACACAAGTAAAATATATAATAAATATGTAATGTAGTGCTCAGCAAAATCTCCTCTCTAGCTATTTTTTCTATTCAATTAACATGAAACAGGTCATTAAATGGCTTGATCCTGAGCTAAATGTAACGTTACATGACATAAAAATCTCCTGCTGTTATATTAACCTCTTTCCATGGTTTAAAAACACTAATTGGTCGATATTATGTATATTTTCTAGCTGTACCTTACCCTGTGCCTTTTGCAATGTGAAAATGAGATAAATAATGGACACAAAGGAAAAACATGAATTCGTTTATTTGATGTCATTCGTTTATTTGTTGTTGCCAAATGGACAGATCTTTTTATAGTTTCCTCGTTAGCTAACGTTAGCCTAGCTAGCTTGCCAAGCTATTTACATAAATAATCTGTAAGATCGTTTGTACCTTCATCTTGTTTAAGAAATGAAAAACTACACACTCTACCAATTAAGGTTAGAGGAACTGTTGCCAAACATATAAGATGCTAGAAATATAATAATCACCGCAATAATGATTCGCACAGGATTAGTATTACCTGGTGACCTCTAGTCATTTGTAATAATTGCAGAGGTTGTCTGTGATCTTAATCCCGAGCGAATCAGCCATGTCTGTGATTTGGCGGGGTCGTAAATACATTTTTCAAGGTTTTTGTTTCGGTGCACCTTTTTATCCATCTTTCGCGATGAATGGAGTGTTTTGATTTTGGGTGCTAAGTCGCTATACATCATAAAACTATACAATTTGCAGAAAGAGAAAGCTGAAAATCATCAGAAGAGCGACGATAAACAACATTATTCTGTTTATGATATATACAGCTAGACCTATAATAACGTCAAGACATTTCCAAGCAATAGCCTATTGACATCACGTCCGGGAGATAAGTCAGTAAATTCGAGTAAAATCACAGGCTTTGCTTATCCCGTGCGAATGCGCCACACGAAGGACCCCAGATAATACTAATCCCGTGTGAATACGGCTATAGACTCTTCATATCAGCATTGGCCTATTCAAATCCAAACTTTTTTTTTTTATTTTGGCCAGGCAGCGCATTTGTAATAACCGTGTAATCTATTTCTTGATGAAAGCTGGGAGAATGTGTTAATACCTTTTTCAGATGAAGGTCTGAAGAGACAGAGAACCCTCTTGTTCATTTCCACAGCTCGGCCGAGTTCATAACCCACTCCTAACGACGGCTGTGTCACCTCAGCTACTATCACTGGTACAGAGAGAGAAAACGGCACTGTAATGAGTCCTGAAAAACTGAGACAGGTCCGATACAGCATCGCAGAATTAACACATGACAGTTCTCAGAAGAGTTTAGTGCATATGACAATGTTAATGTATTTGTCTTAGCGTATTCGAAGAATAATTCAGAATAATTCTAGGTTTTACTTGATTACCCATTCATCATTTTTTTTAATTTTTTTTTTTATTAAAGTCATGTTAAAATGCGAGTATCGAATATCATCCATCAGGCTTTTGAGGAAGGTTTATCTGTTCATTTGTCAACCATCATTGTGTTGAACTTGTGCATTGTATTACATGTTTTAAAACTACAGAGCTTTAATCATAAAACTAAGCATTTAAATGTTATCTTACTAAGACATACTGAAGGGATATATGGAGTGATGACTGATATTTATAAGCCTCTTGTGTAAGTATCTGCTGGACTGATAAGATTTGGCCATAGAGCTGTCTGCAACTGCACCAAATTGCATATTTTTGCCTCTAAATAAAACTAAGGTGTTATTTCCTAGATTATGATCTCCATATTTATACTATATGAGCCACATATGCAAGCTTTTGTGATGTAAATATTTTGTCTAAACATTCAATAAACTGTCCCCACCCCAAACCAACAACAACAACAAACAAAACAAACATTATCTGTGTATGTATGAACAACACTTTTTGAAAACAATGAGGAAAGTGAAAATGATGAGCATGTCATTATGATCTGACCTCACCATCAGACATCATCAGCCACTCCATATCTCGATCATGAATCGCTTTATCTCCATCCAAAACGGCATCTTCACCTGCATCACGGACACATGTTAACTAAGTTACATCTATGACTAGTTTCCACACACAGGATTAACCAAACGATATGAAAGCGTTAAATAGCGCAACTATGAGAGAAAGAGAGTAAAAGTGAATCACCCTTTTCAGACAGACTGTCATAGCTGACATGCTCTGTTAACACCTTGCCATACTGCTGTAACTTCTTCACTATTCTCTGGTAAATATTTACGTCCTGTCTCCCTCCTCGGATACTTCCACAAAAGTATATGTTCATACTTTGCAAAAAGTCTTCGTCCCTTGACAATAATAGTACGAGTGTAATGTTCGCGATAACAGCTTTACAGCGTTGACAGGAAGTTCAAGTTCACAGTCACACAAACAAACTGCAGGTCTTTTGTTTCCCGCTCAAACTCACACGTCACGGAGAGGCGCGCGCCACCCGGTGGTCATACTCACACACGCCGATTTATTTACCATTACCAAAATGTTTTCATTTATTTTTCCATTATTCGTCCTCCTCATTGACGTATATATTTACTTGTTTATTTATTAAAAAATAATAATCATGTACACCAAGATAGATATTATAATACTTATAATAATTATTGATTATAATAATTTATAAAGAAAATGTCCAAAATTTAAATAAATAATACACAAACAAATTCTTAATCTTTAGATTTATAACTCGTTAGTTTGTAATATTCCAAATCTGCTGTAATATAGGCCTCACACAGGGGCGTAGCCAGGACATTATTTCTGGGGGGGCCAGCCTGTGCCAGTCTTTTATTTGGGGTGGCACTTGATTGTCAAAAACTACTATTACTAAAACTCACGCGCGGCTCGTCAGGCCATAAACAATGGATTGAACTCCCTTATGACACTAATAATGTCTAACTGATAAATGTGCGAGTGCAATGTGTCATCATTATGCGAGGGGTTAGGGACCTTATAACATGAGACAGGGATGTTTTTAGTGCAAATGACAGAAAGACGCAATATGAATTGTCATATTAGGCAATAATTTATTTAGGTAAACCATTGCATTTTAAGTGCAACATCCAATTTCATTTGTGATAACACAACAGGTTACAACGGTTGCAAAAATCATGACTAGATCATGTAGTAACACTTGAGTAATTACTAGTTAGTTCCAATGATATTCACTTTATAATACGGATCCAAATAATTAGTAATTCCCATAGAAGTATCTAGTAACACTTTCATCTGTGAGCTATTACTTACTAATGGATCTGTATTATAAAGTGAAGATCATTGGAACTAACTAGTAATGACTCAAGTGTTACTACATGATCTAGTCATGATTTGTGCAACTGTTTGAGATTTTTGGTGAACTTTAGTATACTTTTAGAAAATGTCTTTAGTAACACTTGAGTAATTATTAGTTAGTTCCAATGATCTTCACTTTATAATACGAATCCAAATAATTAGTAATTTCCACAGAAGTAGTAACACTTAAGCTATGCGCTATTACTTACTAGTTTGTTAATCAGAGTTTCTTGTTAGTTAATAATAGTTACTAGATTACACTTTTAGAAGAAAAGGTTCAATGTAGAACCTTAAAAGGTTCTAAAGCGTTACGTATTTGGAACCCCTAAAATGCAATGCATGTGAATGATCAAAAAATTCAACATATGGTGGTTAAATGTGATTAATTAATAAAAAAAAATGTGATTAATTAATATCAGACGAAGAGTGCCATTTCACTTTTTATCCTCCAAAAATCTGCATGATTAAAATGTGATATTAAGTTACTACAACAGTTTAATAAACAATAATTTAATAACAAAATGTTGCAGAATAATGTAATATATGAATGAATAATAGCCTTTAAAAAACCTTTGAGCCAAAAGGGTTCTTTCTTCTCATTATTGAACCTTTTTTAGCATACAATGTCCTTTGAGTAAAGAACCCTATATATGATAGAATCCTGTTTCCACTATAATCAATGGAAGTAGCTACACTAGACGTGATTGCGGCGCCAGCGCGTGCGTTTGAAGGGAAAAAAAATAGACCAGATTAGTCTAAAAGGGATTTTACGTGTCGTCGTGAACGGAACGCTTCAGTTAGTGCCTGTACCCTAAGTGACACAATTGGAATTGACTTAAGCTAACTGTCTAGCGCTAGCCAGCCAGATAATCATACAAGTTTGCAAAAATAACAGCAGCGGCGCTGCTTAACTAAACTCACTCTATGTCGACGACACATTCTTACACAATAAACTGAGTCAGAAGATAACTAATATGATCTTATCATTTCAATTAATGTTATGCTTTCAAGTATCACCAACTTACACACCTGTTAGTTACAGTGGTATATCCAGTGATTAGCTGCTAGTCTTCATTAAGCGGTGTCAGAATGCACGTTATGTCTCGCACTGTTGATGGGGGCGTGACCCAACATGTTGCTAATATGGAGCATAATATGTAGCGTAAGTGACAAATCAATGACTTGATTAAAAAATACATTTTAGCTTCCTTTTTAGACCGTTACTGGAGTTTGTATTTTTTATTATTATTAAATTTATTTTCCCGTGAGGTTGGGAGGGGGGGCCGGCAGGGGGGCCGAGCCTTGACCAATGGTGGCCGTGGCCCCCCCTGGCCACCATGTAGCTACGCCCCTGGCCTCACATACATATATTTGCCTTAAACCCTATATCTATACATGTTAAAAATAAACGACTAATAAGTCAAAATAAGTTTTTGAATTAGTTGCATTTAATCGTTTTTTTTATTGATTTACTCTTGAGATGCAAGTATGTTAAACAGCACTGAACTGACAATAATATATAAAAAGAACAATAATATTATAAATAATAATGATAATTAAAAGCTACATACATACAGACAATAATTCTGACAGGGTTTTACTCAAAATATTTAGAATATTTATATTACTTTTAACATTTACATATTAATTTTTATTTCAGAATAGATACAGTTACGAACAAGGTAGAATAAACACGGATTAATAATGTGAATAAATTATGAAGCATCCAAATAAAATAAAAAAACAACAAAAATCTGGTATTTTCATGTACACCTATTTATTTTTATGTACACATGTAATCGCTTAGCTAGCTAGCTCGTCGGTGTCTCATGACGCAATCGATGCGCAGTTCTGCTTCTGCGCAGGACCGGAAGCAAACAACAGCTCTCCAGATAGACATACATCTGCTCAAAACATTTGGATAAAAGAGCTCGACAGAAGAAAACAGGTAACAGAAAATGACCCGAGATCATTTTCTGCATGGTGAACAGTCGCATTCATTAGTTAATTCCCTGGAATTGTAAGTGTATATGACCTAGCAGGATTGAATAGCCTTAAGCTTACATTGACAGGTGGATGTTTAACTCTACACAACACACCTTATTTTCTTTCACACGCGTCTGTGTGTGTTAGCAGCCAGTGAATGGAAGTGGCGAGGGCCCGAGAGATGGGTCCCGAAAGAATCTTACCGAACTCCGAGGAGGATGTGGTGCAGGACCGGCCTCTAGACACCGCAGTGCCGGAGGAGTGGAGCGGGGAGGACATGGAGGAGGACGAGGACAATGCTGGAGACGAGGACAGTGCTGGCTACTATTACCAGCCTCTGAATCAAGACCCAGACGGGATGAACAGCTCACACACAGAGCCAGCCGAAGAGGCGACCGCTGCAGAGCAGCTCCAGGAGGTCCAGGACAGAATAGAGGTACAGGAGAGGTCTTTAGGGGGCTCATCTTTCTGGGCAGCAAGTGCAATAGATTTCATTTGAACTGTCTTGCTGAAATCTGATCTTCATCCACTTTTTGCAGGCCATGGGTCTGTACCTTCCCCAGCCTCCTCCTGACAGCGACGAAGACGAGGATCCTGAAGGAGCAGCTGCCTGCAGAAGCCAAGCGTCCATCCCCATGGATGCAGGTATGCAGAGAACTGACTTCACATTTGGGTCACAACACTGATATACTGTCATCATGTCACTTATTGCTTCATTACTCCTCTGTCAGTGTGTTGGACTAAAATCGCAACACCTTAATCAATGCAGCTGGTTGTAACGGAGTAGTTCACTTTAAAAAAAAAAACTTTTTCTGATAATTTACTCACCCCCATGTCATCCAAGATGTCCATGTCTTTCTTTCTTCTGTTGAAAAGAAATTAAGGTTTTTGATGAAAACATTCCAGGATTTTTCTCCATATAATGGACTTCAAGGTCCAAAAGACAGTTTCAGTGCAAACTGTTCAAAGGGCTTTAAACGATTCCAGACGATGAATAAGGGTCGTATCAAGCGAAATGATCGCTCATTTAAAAAAAAAAAGTTTAAGTTTTATAAGCTCAAATAGTCGCCTTGCTCTGTTCTGTGATACGCGTTCATGACTCTCCTGTTTAAACTTGTTTATTAAAATCTTTTTTCCTATCATTTGGTTAATTCAATGAAGTTAAAGTTAAGTTCGATAAAGTTGAATATATATTCACATACATACAGTACACTCACATAAAGCAGGATAAATACATCTCAGCTGCTTGTTTGCTTTTATAATCACTAAATTATTGCTCAGCTCTAATCTGCCAAATGAGATTATAAAACATGAATCCTATAAACATTAACATCATGATTTTCTTAAAGCTGCTTTGAAACGATGTGTTTATTGTGAATTAATCACTGTTGAATTAAGAATTTGACATTTTTAAATCGACGTTAGACATTAATACTAGCATTACACAAACGGTTGATTTATCTTATTACTAAAATATTAGTAATATTTAAAAAAAGACAACATACATAAGTGCAATTTTGGAATTAACAGGTGAAATAATGATTAAACCTTGGCTGAAGTATGCATGTTATTAGTATTAGTATTACTAAAATACAGATTGCTTTCATGTTATGCCCTATAAATAGTATTTAAGTATTTCAATTCAACACTATTTTTCTTAACTAAATGTAAAACAAAACACTAAAATATAATACTTCAAGTGAATTTAGCCATCACACCATTATAATGTACAGCATGAATTTTTTTAAAAAATATTTGCCCATAAATTATTTAATTTAATTGTTAGTGTTTTAAAAGATAAAGTGATCATTAAAATGAGTACTTAAAAATACCTATTATTTTACACTAATATAGATGCATTTAAAAAGTGCAAATATCAACCAATTAACCAACGTGGTACGGATATATTTGAAATGTTCTTGTTTGCGTTCACAGATCACGTTGAGCTGGTGAAAAGGACCATGGCGGCCATCAATCTGCCGACACTGGGAATCCCCGCCTGGGCCCAGGAGATCTCGGACGACCAGTGGAAGGACATGGTCCAGCAGACGCTTCAGACCAGACAAAGCTCCGCAGGCCTGAGACTGGAGCGCAAGTGAAGCCTCACCTCGGCCTCGACACTGCATAAACGTTAAAGGACCTTCTGACATTTGCTCATCTCAAACAAACAAACCAAAAGGCACATTTATCACCCTAGCTGTGGTTTATACCAACTGTGGAAATTTAATAGTTTACCTTTTAATTGCTTTGAACTTTCGCAAGGCAAGTTTGCAAAAACTGTTTTAAAAACACCTAGACATATTTCAGCCTTGTTCCAAGTTAATTATGCAGTATGTTCTTTTGCTTGATTACGTTTTTGTAAAGTGAAGTTTGGCAAGATTTAGTGGTTGCTTTTCTATGACGGTATAAACATGTAATGGTGCATCTCAGTCGTGTGCCGTTTAAGTCACAAACAAAAATCTGATTATTAATCTGATTGACAATGTGCAATGAGTGACTAATCCTTTACGTAGTTCACATGGCTTGAGCAACACAACCGGCCGTCACGTCTTTTGTGTTTCTTTATTGTTGTTCTGTACATACATGAACATCTGTACAAAATATGACTTTCATACTATGTAATGCTCAACCTAATTAAAGTACAACATATGTACATATGACCTGGAAAGCAGCTTAAGATTAGTGTCAGACTCGGGGAAGGAGGGCTGGGAAAGGGCGAGTGTGGAGAGACCCATACTTTCTTAATTTCCCTCGGTTTGTTGCTGCTGCCGGACGAGCTGAACACGAGCCCCGTTCGCCTGTCAAGCTGCATCGAGGCAGGAATCATGCTGCGTTCAAGAGTGAAGTTGCCTCTGATTGTTTCTGGAATGTTTTGGTCTATTTAGAGGCAGCTAGGTTGGCAATTCATGCTCTTGATTGCATGGACAAGGCATTCCCGTACACTGATAGGCTGAGGTGATGTAACGACACTTCAAACGGCTAATGATTTAAAGACTTCACCTCTGCACTGCACACTATAGGCTGTGATAGCACGAGTCGAAACATTTCGACAAAAGTGTAGCAGCTTGAATTGTCCAGCAGCCCGTAGGAGGAGTAAATGTTCCCTCACTATTGGAATGATCAAAGTGACACTTCACGGGACAGACCTTTACAACAGAGAGGGGACATCATGCATCAGAATGAAGTCATACAAGCAAACAGAACTAAAGAAAAGATGAAGTTGGGGCAGAAAAGGGCAAGGGTACAATCGTAAGCAATATACACGACAATATACAGTACACAAGTAGTCGCAATTGCAAGCTGTCGCTTTTCCATATATTAAGCCTGGACAGGTAAGCGAGTATCTTTTCTCTTTAAGTATATAGTCCTATAAGGAGGATTGTATAGCGCTTGATCAGTACACTAGATCAGTCTTTACTGTTCTAATATGGAAAGAAAATATTGCTTTGGTGCCTTAAAGTGAAAACAACAACGAAACAAGACAGTCTTGGACAGGACGGTAGTTCCCGATCTTGAACGGTTGTCGTGTTTAAAAAGTTTAACGGGAGTTTGCTTTTCGTTCTCGTCTAGTTTTTATAAATCACGGAAACCTATGAAGCAAAACAAGACAACTTACAAAAGCCAGGAGGTGAAAAAAAGCACATTGCGATTTCATGGGAATCTGTTCAAGAGGTATAAGTCTAAAAACGAAACTCAAGTGGAGTGTGGACCAATAGGCCATTGGTGCATGCGTTTAGATCACATTCTTTTATGCGACTGTAAACGGACTGTATACTACTTTTACAGCATTTTTATCATCAAGCGCTCTGCTGGTGGTGGATATAGAGGTGATTGTTTCCACAAAGCTCTCTTACTTTTATGTTGTTGTTGATCATGATCATTAACACAATCACTAGGTCAGTCTCTTCAACCTCTGCCTCCTAATGTGTGACTTCAGATGACTACCTGAAACGTTTACAGCACCAGGTCTCTGTTTAGGAAAGCATCTGAAACAGATTCACAATCCCATGCGAGTTGAAATCTCAAACTTGCATGTTTAATTCATAAAGCTTGTTTTGTAAGAAACAAGTTCTTTTGTATGACATCAAGAATCGCTCCCATCCATGCCATCTAAAATTCAGTACAGGGTTTCCATCTCCACATCTCCAGTAACATGATTCATTTAGTTAAGTGTGGCCCCTTCATTGCAGACACGACAGATTCGCAGAGGCGGTGATGGGAAAACAGGAGAAGCTCTCAAGCAGCGGTAAAAACGGGATAGGGAACATGCGGACAAATGGAGACGGCATAAAGTGGGCAACATAAAGTGTGGAGAGAGAAAAGGAAAGCGACCACAACAAGAGCATTGATTATTTGCAACCCACACTGCTTTCTACCAACCCAGCGGTCGCTTCTGTTCAGTGTGCGGATCAGCATCTATGGATGGGGGAAAGAGTTGGGGAGATGAGGAAGAGTGCATGGGAGCTCTCCACTGCTCTGTGGACTGGACTTGGGCTTTCCAACAGTGAGGGAGGAGGGAGTGTGGATATAGGCAGAGGAATAGAGAGGTGGGTTACAGCAGGCGACGATTTTGGACCAAGACGAGAGGAGCAGTTTAGGCGAGGTGGAGGGTGCCGGGGCTCCCGCGTCAGAGGGCTTCTTGGTTGGCCGTCAGGTACTCCTCCGCTCGCTTGTGAGATTCCAGGGCTTTTATAGTGTAGACGTCCTGCGGCAGCTCAGACTTTCGCCTCATCAAAACCTTGTCTTTCTTGATTTCTTTCATCCCCTGAAAAGAAAACGGTCATATTCCTGAGACAGCGCCAAACTAATGCCTGAAGTATACACAAGTTCATTCCAAAGACTTTCATTCATCTTGGGAACACAAATGAAGATATTTGTGATCTCTGTCCCTCCATTGACAGCTACGCAACTACCGCGTTGACACTTTACAAAGTTCATAAAGAGATCGTAAAACTAGTTCATATGAATCAAGTGGTTTAGGCCAAATTTTCTGAAGAGACACAATTGCTTTTTTATTATGATTAACAGATTGAATTTAGGCTTTTATTCACATAAACATTTATCGATTCACACATCAGTTGTGATAAATGGAAGCTCAGGCATGTTTGCTTGACGTGTGGTTCATTCTTGATTTACACGCCACGTTTGAGCTTCAGCAAGAACCAATGATGTTTATTCTCATGATTTGTTTATTTTCACAGATGAATATGTGAATAAAAACCTAAATTCACTCTGTTCATCATATAAAGCGATCGTGTCTCTTCAGAAAATTCTGACTAAACCGCTTAATTCATATGGATTAGTTTTACGATGTCTTTTTGAAGCATCAAAGTGGTAGTTGCGTAGCTGTCAATGGAGGGACAGAGAGCTCAGATTTCATCAAATAGACCTTCATTTGTGTTCTGAAGAAGAGCAGAGTCTTACGAGAAAGACACATGGGTGAGTAAATTATGAATTTTTTTTTTCATTTTTGGGTGAACTAACCCTTTAAATATAATACATTTATACTTATTTGATGCTGTTGGACTGAAAAGCAAACCTGTAATCTAAATAAGCTGTAGTTTCTTTCATTCACACCGAACATTTGTGTTAATGTTCAGTTGGCTTATATTAAAGCTGAAAATGTATCCAGCCAAAAGCATGATTTTGTTTTTCCCCAATATTATTTATTAAAGCAGCATCACGTTGTAAAAATGAAGTAACGTATTAGCCCCAAAAGAGCATGTATTGCACTCTAGCTAGTAGTGATGTATATCTCGAGACCGGCCTTTTACGTGGTCTCGATCTTGTCACGGCCTTGACGGTCTTTGGTCTTGGTCTCGGACCACTCGGTCTCGTCTAGGTCTCGCTGTCTCAGACCGACATAGTGGTCGGGGGATTTAGCAATATTACTATATCCACGACGATATCCGTAATGGATTGAAGAGTGCGTCTGAGTGACGACAGTGCGGTGTGTGCGAGCCACACGAGAAAACGCTGTATCCGCACCACTGATCGCAGCGGCAACGAGCACTGTGATCACTTGATTTAAAAAACACATATCATGTTCAGTTTTTGATGTACTAATATTTAGTAAAACACATATCAGTGACATGATGGGTTTTAACTTCATTCAGGAGATTAGGGGTAACTGCACAACTGACAGATGACTGAGAGCACCGCCAACTGTGTGTGTAACCATAGCGACAAAATGACCAACTTTCAGATCCTGTACTTAAGCTTATAATTTTGTTTTTAAAAATATAATTATGCATAAAAGTTGCAGAATGGATTCATTTGGAGACTTCGAAATCGGCAGAGATATGCAGGCAATGCAAAACAAAATCTTACAAGTTATTGCTTAGCTTCAACAATAGGGGTGTAACGGTACATGTATTCGTATTGAACCGTTTCGGTTCGAGGCTTCCGGTTCGGTACGCATACAAACCGAACGATTGCTTGGACCATTTTTCCTGCCGGCAAAATTCGTGCTGACGCGGCCAACACAACATTGTGCAACATCCAAATGGCAAGCGTAATAAAAGCAGAACGAAACTGCGCTACTCGTTATATGTGCTTCACGGATCGTTTATCAGTTCGGACCAGCAACATCTGTGCAGCGTGAGCCGATCTCGATCAAGCAACACTGTTAACACACAGCGCTAAGAGATCCAGTAAAGAAAACATTTGAATTCGCCACTGAGGTAATAACATCGCTGCGAGATCTAGTGAGAAGCATTGACATTTCTCCGTTATTAACCATAGATCTCTATTATATCAAACAGCGCTGACATGGAAACCAGGAGAAACATTGTGCCATGAATGTGCCATGAATGAACTAGTACTACTTTCGTCCACAGACCAGCAACATTCACCATGGATTTAATATAGTAACACTAACTGGAACCAGTTTGGCTGGAATGGTGAAATGCTTTTAAGTACTTCACACATCTTTTTCTAGCACTTCAAAATTCAAATATTATATAAATAAATATATATTTAAATGTTATTTTTAATGTGATGACCAAAACATTATTTGTTCATCCTTCAAAGATGACCCCCATTTATAAACCTGAAAGTTTCAAGATCTAGGAAAACTCACACTTATTTAAAAATATTTTTTCTTTAAACAAATAGGAAATTTCTCTGGCATTTCTTTCTTTTTGCTGTATCGAAAACGTACCGAACCGTGACTTTAAAACCGAGGTACGTACCGAACCGTGATTTTTGTGTACCGTTACACCCCTAGTCAACAACACTAGTCTGTTTTTCCCCCCTGGTCTTGACTTGGTCTCGGTCATGGTCTCGACTTGGTCTGTCTTGGTCTTGGTAGTGTCTTGGTCTCGATACCCTCTGGTCTTGGTAGGTCTTGGTCTCGATAACCTCTGGTCTTGGTAGTGTCTTGGTCTCGATACCCTCTGGTCTTAGTAGGTCTTGGTCTTGGTCTCAATACCCTCTGGTCTTGGTAGGTCTTGGTCTTGGAAGTGTCTTGGTCTCGATAACCTCTGGGCTTGGTAGTGTCTTGGTCTCGATACCCTCTGGTCTTAGTAGGTCTTGGTCTTGGTCTCAATACCCTCTGGTCTTGGTAGGTCTTGGTAGTGTCTTGGTCTCGATACCCTCTGGTCTTAGTAGGTCTTGGTCTTGGAAGTGTCTTGGTCTCGATAACCTCTGGGCTTGGTAGTGTCTTGGTCTCGATACCCTCTGGTCTTAGTAGGTCTTGGTCTTGGTCTCAATACCCTCTGGTCTTGGTAGGTCTTGGTAGTGTCTTGGTCTCGATACCCTCTGGTCTTAGTAGGTCTTGGTCTTGGAAGTGTCTTGGTCTCGATAACCTCTGGGCTTGGTAGTGTCTTGGTCTCGATACCCTCTGGTCTTAGTAGGTCTTGGTCTTGGTCTTGGTCTCAATACCCTCTGGTCTTGGTAGGTCTTGGTAGTGTCTTGGTCTCGATACCCTCTGGTCTTAGTAGGTCTTGGTCTCGATACCCTCTGGTCTTGGTAGGTCTTGGTCTCGATACCCTTTGGTCTTAGTAGGTCTTGGTCTCGATACCCTCTGGTCTTGGTAGGTCTTGGTCTCGATACCCTCTGGTCTTAGTAGGTCTTGGTCTCGATACCCTCTGGTCTTGGTAGGTCTTGGTCTCGATACCCTCTGGTCTTGGTAGGTCTTGGTCTCGATACCCTCTGGTCTTAGTAGGTCTTGTTCTCGGTTTAGTCGGTCTTGACTTCAAGTCTACTAGCTAGAAATGAGTTTGGCACTCATGCTCTAGAACAAACTCGTATGTTGATACCCACCACTCCACTGTACAGGCTTTTTTGTTGCTGTGAAGATCTACAAGTGTTTGGTTGTACCTGTGAGGCTTCTGATTCCACAGTCTTTTTCAGCAGCTGGATGTCCTCGGCTGTGGGGGTCTCGGTCTCCATTGAGTACAATGGCATCCCTCCTTCATTATACATCATATACTGCACACACACATGCCATTTACACATTAATGAAGCTAGTTCACACCTATGTGCTCAGCAGGGCAGGACTGCTTTACGTTATTTACATGGAAGAAAAAGAAATGTATTATTAATGGGTGTTGTCACAGTGTTTTGTCATCTATATGGCTCAGAATTCAGAGTGTGAACTATCTTAGTTCTAACTACCTTAGAACTATCTTAGATTAGATGAGACAAAGCACCTTTTAAATCATTTAATTTGAGAGGATGCTCACTGCAGAGTGAATGGGTGGAACTTCACCCTATTCCTAAACCAAATTAGGTTAAGCTCCACCCATTAAGTGCAGAGAGGGGGAGCATTCACTTGACATCATTTGGTTCTGCAGTAAGCATCACTTGTTTAATTTACTGGATTATGCAAAAATAGACGTAACTGCGTGGTTATTAAAATATGAACCATTTTTGAAGAGTTTCCAGCAAAGACTGTGATACTGGATTTATTTGTTCATACCACCCACCCAACATCTAAACAGAACTTGGTAAGAAAGATGAAAGTAATCCAAAGAATAAGATCGATGAATGCATAATAACGATACCGTTACAGAAATACGTGACTCACCTCCTCCTGAGTCAGACCGGGCCGCAGCTGAACCTTTGTACTCTGTGAAAACCCAAAAGTGGAGGTTGATAAACACACATTCACAGGATTCCTCATCACATCCTGATTAAATCGTGGGTCCTTTTTCTGTTTGCCCTCAGAGCACAGAGAGAGATGAGTGGTGATTAAAGTACTCCTGGCGAGTATAATTAAGTTGATTAATTTTAAATTAGGATATGTACAAAATTAGCAGCACACAAAGCTTGTGCATCTGATAATCTATAACATATGACTTCCCTAGCTATGTTTCCATCCACCGATTTTTTTGCGCATTCTGAGATATCGCATTAAATAAAACTATTGTAAGCGCATAAATTCTAAATATGTGCATAAAGAAAAAACATATGCACTCAATTGAGTCGGATGCATTTTTTTTTATCCGATAACATGACATATCTCATGACAAATCTCTTCTAAAAAAAAATGTTATTTTAGGATTGCTTTTCCATGATCATAATTTTATGTGTTTATTTTTGTATTTACATTGCCTTACTCCTCTGCTGTTATGTCTGTCTGTCTGTAAAGCGCTTTGAGAAAGCTACTTTTAAAGGTGCTATACAAAATAAATATATTATTATTATAACCAATGCATAAACTCATGTGAATTTACACGATGGGACGGCATAACTGAGGAGCGATCTTGTTGCACAGCATCTGAAATGCTGTTGTGATCATTCTGAAATGCTTGGCAAAGTCTGTGGTCTAAGTGGTTCAGTATAATTCCCTCCCTGTAACTGTCTTACACGACTGCGCTCCCAAACAGCATGATAACATGACTGTGTTTATTGTGTTTCGTCTGTACGGTTTCCTTCCAGCGAGCCGAAGAGAACGAAATTGTCACTCCAGGATAAATTGACTGGCACTAACTCAATAAGACCATCTCTGGCTAAATATTATTTAGAAAACGTGAAAGTTGCTGCAGTAGGAGAAGCCTCTGTATATAATAACTTCAATTTATCTTGATGATATTTAGCCAGAGATGGTCTTATTGACTTATCAGGAAGGGGCGTTTTTGTTCTCTTCGGCTCACTGAAAGAAATGGTGCTTTGTTCGCAAATGTTTTCTGCGATGTTTAAAGAGCATATTGCAGGTTAAAAAAAAAATCGAAATTAATCGATAACCTTGTATGAAAATACCATATGAAAAGTTAATGCAGGATTTAAAATGTTTTACAACAACATAAGGGCACTAATTTAGTAGATAAAGTGAGCGTTTCTTGGACTGCTAGCAAAAACGGCTTTTTTTTCACCATTGCGTCATTTGACGTCATATCAGGGAGCCGCAGCCTCGGCTCAGTGAAGAGTAGGCTGGTATTCAGTGAGAGCGCTCGTCAGTCAGTGTGTTTTCGTTAGTTTTTGTATTTTAATTTATCATCGTCACGGTAAATTATTGTGTTTGTGGAGGTTGCATAAACTCAGGCCTGTCAGTACTTCAAGGTCGAGTCCACAAGTTTCCATTACAAGAAAAGGGACGGTGCCCTATATCTTTCGTTCCTGGTGCGGGTTGAGCAGGTGAAGAGACGGGATTTCTCTTCCGCATCGGCTTCGGAAAACGCGGTCGTGTGTAGCGTTCACTTCAGATCAAATGATTATCATCCTGCCGATCAACATGAGATGCCGAAGCAAGAATATTGATCGTCGTATACTATACCAATGGCATCAAATAGTGTGATATATAGGCAGTGTTGGGAGTAACGCATTACAAAAGTAATACATTACAGTAACCTATTACTTTTTGCTGTAACGCAGTAGTGTAAGGCATTACTAATCAATTTTCAGTAATATTTTACTCGTTACATGTTCAGTGAGGCTTGTATTACAGTGTATTGTCTGCTTTTACTTCTTAAAGGCAACAGACTATGTGAAAGTTTTAAAGCAGTCTTTTAGTGCCAGTTCAGAGCGGTCGCGTCTGTAACATTGTTTTTTCCTCATAAATGCGAACACGAAAACTAAAATAAAATGAATATTTTAAGTTCTATGGAGACTGGAGAGCCAATCCTTCCTCATCCGATTTGCGCAGTGTAATTAACAGAATTACAAAAAATATATGCCTCCTATTTTTGTCACGCATGAATGTGTGTCTTTTCCCTAATATTAAAAATAAAACATAGACTGATATTTGTCTAATGTCTGGAGTCCTTTAAGTAAGTAGCCTATATACGTTTCAATACATGAATTTTCTGAGAATTTTTATTGCAAGTTTTGACTGCAAATGTCATGTCCATAATGCTGGACTTCCCCAATTTTAAATAATTTATCCTCAACTAGTTTTGTGGTGTAGGTCTACATATTTTATAATGTTAATTTCAAATAATACTAATAGCCTAATTTAAAGATAAGGCAGCATTGGATCTGGACGGTAAGGAGAATAACGCTGGGAGTTGGAAGGGGTGTGTCGCGATTCTGTAGGTTCGTTGATCTGAGTCGTGTGGCGAATCGCGATTTCGGTTTCATATTGCATATCGTTAGAAGCCCCAAAGTTGTTCTACTTAGTTATTTTGGTGAAAGTAACTCAAAAGTAATACATGAGTAATGTAACACATTACAATTCTGAGACAGTAATATTGTAAGGTAATGAATTACTTTTAAATAACAGTAACAAGTAATACCTAATGTATTACAGTTTGGAAGTAACTTGCACAACACTGTATATAGGTAACTTAGTCTTGTCATGCCCTAAATAGAGGCAACTTGTAATTGAAAAACAAAATTGGTTGTTTAAATACTCAAATCTTTAATTTTCTGTTTATGTTATAACCCAGGTGAAAAATATGTATTAAAATTTTACCTGAGTGCTTTTAGTACAATAGGAATATACTCTAGTAAAGTTTTTAATCTACCCTAAACATACTAATGTCTGCTGGCCTGTTATAGGATCATAATAATCTGTACAGTATTGTGAGCACAGTGTATATCGTTAGCAAGCGTGTATATCTATAAGCGCGTCTCTCACCAGAAGACACCTGTCCTGTTCTCCACTGGTTCTCCTCACACCACAGCTCAATTTGTCTCTGACTGTTCTGTCTGACATTATCCTGGCCTGTCCCTGATCTCTTTAGCATAGCAGGCTCATAACTTTATGGCTTGATCAGTCATACGAGTATTTCCTCAGCGTCCGAAATGTCATTGCGATCCATTGTTTTCCTGTTGTGTGAATCGACCGCTCTCCCGCTTATTGCGTCACGCCCGCCACGCCCATTTTCAGACGCGGAAGTAAAAATTTCTCACAAAAACGACTCCAGAAGCTTCTGTAGCGTATTTATAAGTATATTTTAAAGAAAATCTAGTTCCTACATTGTTTTTCTATGCATTGACTCGTTGGGTCCTCTAACCTGCAATATGCCCTTTAAATTTTGCACATAAGTTAAATTAGCAACTTTGGATGGAAATATAGCTACTGACAGTTTGATTGTGTCCTATCTGACTGTCTCTGTGTACACTACTATTCAAACGTTTTGGGTCCGTATTTTCTCTTATGCTCACCAAGGCTGCGTTATAGTTTGATCAAAAAAGCAGCATTAATAACTTATCTATTTAAAGTCAGCATGAAACGGAAGTTGAGATTTTTTTTCCTTGTTGTGACGTATATCTGAGTGAAACGGCTTCTGAAATTAGAAAAAAAATGTAGGGCGGGGCTTGATTTCGTCCTTCGGGAATTGATTGGATCGTTGGTGGTTGGGCGTTGCAAACAAAATGGAGGCAGATTTGAATGCGATTCTCTGAGAGGCGGTGCACCGATAACCGCACCCTTTCGCCATTGCACATGACCGAAATAGAAAAGAGGTCATTTCTAGGGGGGAGGGAAGGGTAATGTATTTGATTAAAGATTATAAGGGTAGATGAATTAAAAAAAAAAAAAATAATAATAATAATAATAAAGTGCACAGACACATCATTTATAATAAACACTACAATATTACATATAAAAAGAAGATTAGTCTTATTTAATTTCATGCCGACTTTAAATATTTTTGTAAGGTATTCCTGTGTTGGCAAAGCTGAATTTTCAGCAGTCATTACTGAAGTCTTCAGTGTTACTTGAGAAGTCGTTATAAAAGTCTATTAAAAAAGTGTGTGTGCAGCGGAGGGTGTTTACCTGAGGGTTCTGTTTCGCTAGTTCTTCAATTTTATGCCACATTTCTTCCCGTTCCTTAAGTTTGTACTTCTCTCTAGGGAAGAACAGGAAAACAACAAATAGTTAAGGATATGTCTGAGAAAATAAGTCGTATGTATATGTGGATACATATGGTTGCCACAAGCTTAGCTCAAAACAACCAGCTTGCTTAGTAATTCTGCTTACAGTCACTGAGTCTCAAAATCTAGAGAACTGCCTACCTAGACATCATCTCTGGGCATGTTCGATGCCCAAAATGCTGTCTCTCTCTTTGTAGTTCACTATGATTTGAGACAGTAAATGACAACTGCTGACAAGACCTTCTCAAACAATGTGTGTCAGAACAAGCCTTTTACAATCTTTACACCTTTTTTCGCCTCATATACTCTCTTTCTTGCCTCGTTCACTTACTTCTGCTTCTCAGCCTTGTACTGCTGAGTGCAGTCATCAAACAGCTTCTGGTTCATCTCCATAAAGAGCTTAAGAGCATTGTAGATAAGCCCGTGGATTGTCCTGCAGGAGAAAACACCGCATTATTACTCCACACATTTGAACAGAACGTTCTTTCCTTCAGGTGTTCATTCATAATAAGATAGACATGTCTTATTGGAAAAATCAGATTGTGTGACTGTACACAATCCGTGAAAGTGTGGCTGTACTTGTTCCAGTGGCTCTTGGAGTTCTTGTAGAGAGCGGGAAACATGATGGGGAGGATCTTAGCAGCATTGTCGCTGATCAGGCTCATGATGTACTCATTGTTCCAGTAATATAATGCTCTTTCAGCAACCTGGAACACACATGACATTACACATCAATGACCATCACACACAAACATGCTACAAAACTCCACATGCATATGCTAGTACTCTTTTTTTATAGGATTGCATATCGTCACTGTCGGGTGGAAACCTTGTATCTCCAAAAACGCTACTTTAAGAACTGCAAAAAAAAAAAATTTTTTTCAATAATTAAACAACGCGTTGTTAAAGTTGATATTTGTCTTTGATATTTGTAAATACTTGCAAAACCCACAGACAGACGTAAAGGGTTACCAATAGCAAATAAAAAGAGAGATGAAATAAGGAGATACAAGGTTTCCGCCTGACATCGACAATATGTAAAATATTGTGTAAATGATGCCCAATGTTCAGTGATCAGTGCTTTCATACCTGGAAGTGTGGACTTGATACACACTTGGCCAGCTGTCTAAACAGAGGCTCCATGACTTTAACAAACTCTGAGGGCTCAATGACATCCAGGATTTCCTCCAGTTCATTCAGAAACATCACCTCCTTGGGACTGTGTGTCTTAGGCCAGAACTTCAGCAGGCCCATAATCACCTGATGCCGAAGAGGAGAGAGTCATCTTTGCACCAGTTAAGTTCAAGATTACCATGAATAAAGAATTTATACAGAAAAATACTTAAGTGACAGAAAACGGTGCAGTTGCCAATGCTGTAAATCTTACAGGTTCAGTGAGGCTGCTGTCCTTTTCCAAAAACTGCACCACACAGTAGGCCAGCTGAAAGCACAGAAAATTAATTTCCCCCCCAAAAAAGAACACAATAGGATGACTAACATTGAGCTATGCTAACTAATACACAGTGCAAAACACTATAAACCCTTATACTTATAAACTATGGATACAGTGAGCATCCTCATGGTGTAGAACTAAACCAACCACCCTTAGTTGCTGTAAAGCTTTCCTAGTTGCCCTTGGTCTAATGTCAAACATGAAGAGAAAAGATTGAACTGAACGCATTACCTCAAATTGTTAAATGACATCTGAAATAGTGTTAATTTCGTTAACGAAAACTAAACGAAAATATTTTCGTCAACGCACATTTTTCACCGAACGAAAACTAGACGAGACGAGACTAAAATCCCCACTAATAAACAATAACTGGGACTAAATCAGAAATAATTTTCGTAGACTAATAAAGACGAGACGAAAATGCAGTTCGGTAAATAAAGACTGGGCTAAAATCTATGGACATTTTAGTTCACGAACAAAGACGAGACGAAAATTACATATTATTATATGATATGGTTTTGTCAAATCCTGTCTCCTCCTCCGCGTCAGCTCTTCCGCCACACACACCCACGTTCAAACCTGGAGCGGGCGGGCACAGTCAGAGTTGCCGACACAACACATTGAGCAGACGGGAGCTGGATTCACGGTGAGGCGGCGGCGACAGGTTAAAAGTAAAACATGCTTTGCACGGGGCTCGGGAGAAAGAAGAGACGTGATATATGGACACATTTTGTTACAATGATAAACTAACTAATGATGGCTAACTTTCATAGCATTTAGTATCCAGGCTGGCTATGTTGCGTTAGCTTCTTAGCACGTAGCGACCGTAGCCACTTGTTGATAGAATTGTATGTGAAGTTAAATTTATGCTAACTTAGATATGTTATACTGGCCGGGCAACTAGGGTTTCAGTTAAATTTGATTAAAGCAGACAGACGTTTTAAAAAGATTAGTTATTTCATACAAGATTTCATACGTTCTAGCAATCTATGCCTTGTTTCACCTTAAATACTGTACCTTTATATACCATGTGAACTAGCTGGCAGGAAAGCACTTTTGTTGTATCAGTTGGAGGTTGTTGTTTTTTTCACAACATTGACCTCAAATCTATTTATTTTATTATTCTATGTGAACTAGCTTTAAACAGCCAGCACTTGTGTTAAGTTCATAATACACTTTATTTTATTTATTTGTTTCCTTTGTCAGGTGTATTTTATTTGTTTTAATGCAAGCATTTGTGTTTGTGTCTTTGAACCTTAACAATGTTCAAAATAAATATGCAAATATTGTCAGAACATCTTCCATGTCTGCATGTGTTCCTTAAAATTGTGTTTTTTTTTTTATCAAAAAGATGAGAGAAAATGTTGAAATGTGAAATAATTTTAGGAAATGTTAAATATTATCTGCTGACAAAAAAGTAAAAGGTTAAAATGATGTCCTGACTAAAACTAGACTAAAATGTTGACAGTTTTTTTTTTTGACTAAAACTAAACGAATAAAATTATGTTTTCTTGGACTAAAATAAAGACTAAAATGCTCGACTTATAGTCGACTAAAACTAGACTAAATAAAAATGGGATGATGTCGACTAAATGTGATAAAAACTAATAAGCGATGCTGAAACTGGACTAAAACTGAAACTAAATTTAAAAATGGCTGGTAAAATTAACACTAATCTGAAATAACCATTAGCTGCCAAAAAGGTCTCCAATATGCTGTAAAGTAACAGCGCTCAAGTTGACCTTAAAAATACAGCAGCTTAATTTTTTTGGTTCAGAATTTTTTTCAAATGCAAGCAAATACATTTTTATTTTTAAATATAACTTCTTTATTTTTAAATCTAGCACGCAAGAGTGCCGTTCAGCCTCGGTTAACCAGAGTCTTGCATTCAGTCCCATGGGTTTGCATATTTTTCTCCCTCCCCAATAGAAGCTTAAAATGATACGACGTGGACTGATAAAAACAGCGAAACATTCCAGTGTTTTACAAAATGATTAACGCCAGTCAGCCAATCACATTTTAGGACTTGAACTAACGGTGGTTAATGCAATTATTAAAAGTTGAGTAGAGATGCACCGATTACAATTTTCTAGGCCAATTCCGATTTTCATTGAGTTTGACCAGCCGATAACGATTTAAGCCGATTCCGATTTTATTTTTCTAACCACTTTTTTATTTTCAATAACACAAATATTTATTTTCTATATATATATAAAACGCCATATACTTTTACTCAAACTCAATAATAAAAACAAGTTAAAATGGGTACATTTTCTTTTCCTAATCCAGTTCTTGTTAGAATATATGACATGTAAAGTCTGTGCATTTTGGGCACTTTTAAATCCTTTTTTTTTTTTTTCATCAAAAGTGTGCTTTCACTTTAATGTTCCTGCTCGACGCTCACGCGCTGCTCCAGCTCCTGGTGTGAATGCAGTCATTGATTAACATGCAAGCCGAAAAAAATAAGCGCCACTCACGCTGACCGGTCAATCGGTGCATCTCTAGTTTTGAGAATACTGTAAATATTACAGTAGAATTTTTTCATACAATCACTTTAGTGAAAGCAATCCTTTCAGCATAAAAGTCATCAACAAAACAAACATCTTCAGAAGAGTCTTCCTTAAGCGTACCTGTGGGTGATAGACGCTGAGAGACTTGACTTTGTGTAAAGGCAGAAGCACTCTGATGAGGAACATTTTGTGCTCCTCTTTCAGCGGCAGGGCAAAGCCATTAATTATGCTGTGGGAAGAACATGAGATTGGTCATGTGACGGACAGGTTCTTTCAGTCCGGCAAAGAGAGAAAGATCTCCCTTCGGATTTGTCATGGCAACACTGATAATGGTCACACTCACCTTCCTAAGATTTCTAAGAGCTCTGCAATCCCATTGTGATGCTCCGTCTCGTATATAAACCTACAGTGCGAGATCAAGGACATCGACTCAATGGATGAACTTCCCCTTTTCTCACAAACACCAAGCTTGGCTCATTCAAAGACAGACTTGCATCTAAGAGCTCACAGTTTCTCCATCTACTCTTACAAAAGTTTATGAATGAGAACATTTTGATAGCTGAAAGAGTCATATGCAAAGGACAGCTTGCCTGTAGAATATATTGTTGATCTGCCGACGGACGTAGGCTCTCAGCCCCAGGAACTTTCCATAGATCCTGTGCAGGATGGTTTTTAGGAAGTCCCGCTCTCTGGGGTCTTCACTGTCAAAAAGCTCCAGAAGCTGAAAACAAATAAGGTGAACTAAATCCATTAGCTCAATCATTAGTTGGGTTCTGAGACCCAATCCGAGCAGCTACGTTTACATGCATCCAAATACATCCGTTTATTAATCAGACTGATAGCTCAAACCTGTAAACACTTGTAAACAAACTGTTAGTGTAGACCTTATATAACCTGATCAAAAGGGGAAAAAATAAAGCATGTAAAAGCATGAGACAAAATATTAGGTAAATATATGCTAAAAAAGCTCTTGTGATAAATCTCAGCTTTCATTTTAGATACGTCATCATCAATCCACGAGGCAGTTCCAGTGACATTACCAGTGGCTTTCTCATGTTATGAATTTGGTGGCGGCGCTGAAGTTTTGTTCAGAATAAATGTAATGCACATGTAAACGAATCGGACTGCAGTGTTTAGGGTTCATTTAAATAATAAATTTCAGATTCTGAAACAGATTGGACTTATTTGGAAAAAAATAGTGTATGTAATGAAAAGTGGATCAGCTTGCTTTTGTTCAAATGTTTTTTTTTTTATTGAAAACAATATTAGCATCTACTGTAGTGTTCATTTTCACACTAACATTCTCACTTGGAGCAAATAATCTCTCACACAATGTAACGCTGTCCATCAATAAAAGGGTTAGAGAAATACTGACGAGGTCCTGATATTGACGAGGGGGCGGAGAATTCGCATCAGCTGTGCGTGTGTGTGTGTGCTTGGCCCTCATCAAGCGGTATTTCAGACTGGATGTGCTGCGATGATAATAGCTCAGTTCACAATGACAAAACACACAGATCACTTTGGTCTCGTCAATGGGATCATTTGGCAACTTTTTTAAAAATAAACTTTCCATTTAGAATCTTATTGGCATCCATTTCGGCGTCTCGCGCTCGTCATCCACTCAAAACGTAGCGTAAAAACCCGCTATTTGGCCTGCTCGCAAGCCTAAACAAGTGTATGCGGCGTGCCATGTTGTTTTGTTTCCGGTCTAGCAAGATCCTCTTGCGCTTTGGTCGACGAAGCAACAAAATGTCCTCACGTGGCACAAGCCATTGAAATGAATGGGTTTCATAGCGCAGCGCCGCGTCCTGTTGCAAAAGTATGTGAAAAAAACTGCAAAGTTTGCTAGACCAAAAAGACCATTAATCGCGCGAAAAAAATAAATGTATGCCATTAAAATGGGTTTGTGTTAACGCCGTTAATAATGCTTTTAACTGACAGCCCTAATAATAATAATAAAAAATCTGTCCACCAAAGTGCACAAAGTAGGGACGTCCCGAGCTGATCTCAAGGATTGGTATCGGACTGATTACGATTTTTTTTTTTAACTGATCAGAATTTTCTATCCTAAGCCTGATCCTGTATTTACCATCAACTCGCATGGAAGAACCAAGCTTCTGTTAAGCATATTTGATGTGCACTTTTTAAACAAATCCCTCAAAGTCCACTTTTATCTGGCATAAGACTATATGAGAAATTGTTGCCATTACACATGATCTTTGTTCTGCAGTTTTCATTTGTGCTATTTCTTATAGTTTCATCATCTGTTCTTATTTTTTACAGATCTTTTACTTATATTAATAATTTACAATTATATAATGCTTCAATAGAATTTATTCATTGTTTTGTTCTTGCATTCTATGTAAAGACTAGTGAGTAAAAAAGAAAATTTACTACCCAATGGGGACTCAAGCTTCATAGATACATAGATATATAGAGTGTTTATATTCCTCTGATTGTGTGCTGATGAGGACAAACCATGATGCAGATATATCAGAAGAAAGGACACTCACCGACATTACAAACTTTTGGTCGATGTATTTTTTGGCAACATTGGGCTGGAAGTCAGGTGACTCAAGGAATCTCAAGAAGAATTCATAAACCAGCTGAAGAAGAGAGAAAGAAGGGAGAGAATAAGAGATATAATGAAGATTACAGTATATGATGAATGCATCGGTCAGGTTCTCTTTGCCACCAAAACAATAAATGCTGTCAGTTCTTGCTAAAGATAAATTTTCATCATTTGAGACAGACACCAAAACCAAATGAGCAATCCAGCCGGCAGGGAACGACAGAAGTGACTGGAATGTAGTGCATTGCATAAGCAGCAACTCTACGACCCACACAAATAGTGCTCTGCACTTGAGTTTGACTTTAGCATAGTGATAAACCTAACAACTTCATAATTCAACACAAATACAAAGTCAATTTTAATTTGACTAAACTATTTTTTAGGGCTGTGAAACAATTAATCGCATCCAAAATAAAAGTTTGTGTTTACATAATAGATGTGTGTGTAGTGTCCATGCATATGGACACATATGCATGTATATATGTAAGAAAAATGTGTTATTAATATATCAAATATTTATATTTATGTATAGTAATAATTTTGTATAAATATATATCAAGTATATACAATGCAAATATTTCTTAAATATTATACATGCATGTGTGTGTATTTATATATACAAAATAATTATACACACACCACAAACTTTTATTTTGGATGCGATTAATCGTTTCACATCCCTACTATTTTTATCCACACTATTTTGTACTGAATGATATTTTTATATTCCACATCCTCTTGCTTCGTCTACCTTGGATATGCATTGCACTGCTATGAATCTCATATTTTTCCGAGCTCAAAGGACACATGTGATGCTCTCTTTGAATTTACATAACAATGTAAAAAATGCACATGAAAGGCCAACCACCAAGAACCACCACCAAACTTTAACATACACTATAGGGCTGCACGATTAAAGGAGTAGTTCACTTTTGAAAAAACTTTTGCTGATAATTTACTCACCCCCATGTCATCCAAGATGTCCATGTCTTTCTTTCTTCAGTCGAAAAGAAATTAAGGTTTTTGATGAAAACACTCCAGGATTTTTCTCCATATAATTGACTTCAATGGGAACCAGACGGTACAAGGTCCAAAACACAGTTAATAACAGTTTCAGATGCAGCTTCAAATGTATTTAAACGACGCCAGACGATGAATAAGGGTCTTATCATGCGAAACGATCACTTATTTCAAAACTTATTCCAAAAATGTAACTTTTCTAAGGACAAATGCCAGCCATGCTCCATTCTGTGAGGCGCGTTTGTGACGTCACGTAATACGTAATTACGTTCAAAAGGTCACGGGCGACGTAGCCGTAAGTACAGAGTCAGTGTTTACAAGTTGAACGCATAGGTTGAACGTGCAAACCAACTTAAACGCCGTTTACAAAAAAAGGAATTAAAAGGTAAAACAACGATGTCGGACGATTTTGATTCTGTACTTCCGGCTACGTCGCCCGTGACCTTTTGATCGTAATTACGTATTACGTGACATTACAAACGCGCCTCACAGAATAGAGCAAGGCTAGCATTTGTCCTTAGAAAAGTTTCATTTTTGGAATAAGTTGTAAAATAACCGATTGTTTCGCATGATAAGACCCTTATTCATCGTCTGGTGTCGTTTAAAGACATTTGAAGCTGCATCTGAAACAGTTATTAACTGTCTTTTGGACCTGAACCATCCGGTTCCCATTGAAGTCCATTATATGGAGAAAAATCCTGGAATGTTTTCATCAAAAACCTTAATTTCTTTTCGACTGAGGAATAAAAGACATGGACATCTTGGATGACATGGGGGCGAGTAAATTATCAGCAAAAGTTTTTTCAAAAGTGAACTACTCCTTTAAACGTGCTTTAATCGTGATGATGATATCTGCTTCTCTCGATATCTTGCATTGGTAAGGAGCCTCCACTATCTTTCCTGCTTCAGGTTGCCAGATGTCAAGAGCATAAATCACCCAAACTGAGCTTTTATCTTAAAAGGACACGGTTTCTGTCCAATGTTCCACTTAATCTTCTCTTCCTGGCAACCGCACACGCTTTCTCTGGGCTGCCAAAGAGCGCTGATGCTCTGACAACACCGACAAACATAAACGTGTAAGTTTAGCAATGTCCATTGTGAAATTCTGCTAGAGTGAAAGTGTCATACAGCCAATCTGTGTTCACGAGGCCGGGTGTGTGATTTACAGCTACTAAATCTGCGAGTGAACTGTAATGAATCTCAACCATATAGTTTGCGATCATGTTTGATAAATAAATGCATTAATGCAATCTAAGTGGAAAGTAAAAGTGTAACATTTGTAATTATTGGACTTAAGGGTAACACTTTACTTGAAGGGGTTGCTTAAGACTGACATGACATATGTTATGAATATGAAGGAAGTTTTATGCATGTTTATGACAACTGTCATTAAGTGTGATTCGCTCAATAATGACATTTTTAATGCAAATGTGACATTGTTTGAGATGTCTTTGTTATGACACCTTGATATTACTAAGACAACACAACCTGTCATAAACATGACATAGCAGATTAATGATCAAACTTAAGAAACCACCTAGCTTTATTGGTTAATATTACATTAAACTGTCAGGTGGTTGGTTTTGACATTGGCTGTCATGAAGCCATTATAACATTTTATTGACAAATTCAATTAGTACCACTCTAGTTGAGGTCATGAAAAATATTCATGACACAGTTATAATGGCCTCATGACAGCCAATGTCAAAGCCAACCACATGACAGTTTAACTTCATTTTATGTCAAGTTGTCATGACAAAGACACTGACAGGTTATGATGTATTGGTTTATGTCAAGGTGTCATAACAAAGACATCTTAAACAATGTCATATTTGCTTTCAAAATGTCATAACTGAGCGAAAGACACTTAATGACAGTTGTCACAAACATACATAAACCCTATTTCATATTCAAGACATATGTCATGTCATGGTTATGAAGGTGTCATGCCAGTCTTATGCACATGCCTTCAAGTAAAGTGTTACCGGCCTGGATTACTTTACACCATTTGATAATTATACTCATCTTCCTCTTTCTCTGGAATATCTGGATATTAATCATGATTACAGTTTTTGAGCAAAATAATAGTCGGTTAACCATTATCGTGCACCACTAATACATTTACATTTACTCATTTAGCTGACGCTTTTATTCAAAGCGACTTACACTTGCTATATATGTCAGAGGTCGCACGCCTCTGGAGCAACTAGGGGTTAAGTGTCTTGCTCAGGGACACATTGGTGTCTCACAGTGGATTCGAACCCGGGTCTCTCACACCAAAGGCATGTGTCTTATCCACTGTCCCATCACCACCCCACACTTAAGATTTTTATAAATATGACAGGGCTTTTAGAGCGGCATTAAGAACGCTGATATTGCAAACTTAATGACATAAGGTACTTGTGGGGTCTACTGGGTAGACAACTGGTGTTATGATAATATGAAGGTCCACACACACCTGCAGGTGGGGCCAAGCGGCCTCCAGAGTGGGCTCATCCTCTTCAGGGTCAAACTCTGCTCCCGTAGGATTGGAAGAGGGCGGAAGAGTCCTGAACAAGTTTACAGAAAACTGAAAAAAAGAAACACATTATCTGTCATTACATGAACAGAGAAACTGTCCCTTCTAAGAATATAGTAAAAGTATTATAATAAACCACAATACTTTTTGACACAATACTTAGTTTGTGAAAGTATCACAGCACCAATTATTATTATTGTGTGGACTCGTCGTTATTGCAGAGGTTTTTTCAGTTTTATTACTTATTTACAGGTTGCAAAATATAATTATTATTATTGCTGCACTGGAAGTTTGTTATACAAATTATATTTCTGAATTGGTTTTAAATTTCTTTACACAGAAAACTGACTTGGAAAGCCAAAACTTGCATTCTGAAGTTTATTATTATTTATAATTGTGGTATTACAAATGTCCACCAAACGCATCATGGCACTCGAACTGTCGCTCTAACTTTCCACATGCGCCATTATTAATTGTTGGCTTATTATATGCAGAGATGTGTCAGATGGATGTTTTTGGCCATAAAATGTCAGTTTTCGCTTGATAGGACACTGTTAACTGAAAAGTTCTCCTTTGAATTCCTGTTGCGTTTCATTTTAATGAGTTCTGTCTTGCATTCTGTGTGATCGTCACCAAAAATAAAAAAAACATGCCAATGCTGAATCTGAGCCACAAGCTCAAAATAATAATAAAAAAAATATACACAAGTATATTACATTTACTTATGCTAATTAATAATCAGAATAATACATTCTTTCAGGAAGTAATATAAAGTTTGTAAAACTTTAGTCAAACAATTGGACAGCAATTTGAAGCATTAATATAGAATATATGGTGACAAGTGTGTACTGGCATTTTACAGTAGCTTTGAACATTACCTGTCCAATCAGAGCTTAGAGTCAGAAGAGTCAGAGCTATACATTTAATAAGAATGCATTTGGTATTTTTTTAATATAACCCTCTTAAAACCATCTCTAAAGTTCACCATTATGTCTGCATTAAAAATTCAGCTCTAAAAACCTAAAAAAAAAACTACACAAAAAATTAAATGTCATCCTTCTTTAGCTCCTCTAATTATGAATCAAAGATATTAATTATGCATGACCTCAATTACCAACTCACTCTGAAGTGACAAGTGGTAAAGATGCAGTTTATCACTTGTGTCCCTAAAAATAGCTGAGAGGAAGGACAGGAGTGTTGCTACTGCAGAGGGGTGGCACGGCTTTCTCTGTCAAGATGATGCAATGTTTCGACCACAGCCTCAAACTAGAGTCGACTCAGACCACCAGACAGGAGAGGGAGGGCGAGACACTCATTGACACATCGAGCTGAGACGGGAGAGCGGGACATGAGAGTCTAATGAGTACAAGAGAGGATGAGGGACGTGAGAGGACAATGTGCATTTCAGAGCTAAGAGGTTTTAGTGGTTGCGGTTGTCTTACAATAGAGCCACAAGATTTATGATTAGAAGTGGGACTTGCTGATATACATTTTCACATTATATTTTTTTTTACATCACAATGACTTTAATGCACTTTTATTTGGCATTTGGCTATCATTAATATGTATCTTTGCATTCTTGCATTTAGTTAAAACTGTGAAAATTTTATATATATATATACGTATATATATATATATATATATATATATATATATATATATGTGTTATAGGTGTATATATATCACCTTTTAAACCATTTTCTTTTATTTCAGACTCAGAGCAAATACATAAATACGTGTATATTAAATTGATTAAAAACATAGTCTTGTATTGCAGAGCCTTATTTAGGACACAGCAGATCTCTTTTCCGAATTATGAATGGCTGAAAGGAAACGCAGGTGTCTGGGCCTTGATTTATGACGGGTAATTACCCACAATTCCCTAGTGTACATTTAAACTCGAGCAGATTTTATCCTTGGCCTGGCTGGTAATCACCCTTGTACTGGTCAGGCAAAAGCCATTTCTGTCGATTGGTCACATGATAGGCAGAGGTGTGCACTTTCAACATGTTTTGTCCTATTATCTTCTCGCCCGATGAGAATCAGCTCATAAACATATGCGAATCAGAAGTAGAGCCCGACCGATATGGATTTTTGGGGCTGATGCCGATATCAGGGAGTAAAAAAAAATCCTGAATAATATTTATAAACATTTTTTGCAACGATCACTCAAATGTGGTGATCAAACACTTGTGTGACAAAGATGTGTAATGGAGGCAGGGTGAATGACACATCTGAGCTGTACCAAACTAGTTCGCATTGCATGTTCTACTCAATATTATATTATAAATACTGTAATCTTCACTAATGTCTTTGTCCTTTTATTTAGTCACGTTATATAAAAAATAACTTGTATCAATCAATTTATAAAAAGTGTCACTGGCAAAACCTTGTTATCTTCTATTATTAGTCTTAATTCCTCTAGTCTTTACCAGTGGAGGAAGAACTCCGATAACTGTCCTCGTTTTTTACTCTCACAACGAGCTAATCATACTCGTTTACTACATTAGCTAGCTAGCCATGTTTCCCCATGTCAGTGGAGTGGAAGCTAATGTGTGCGCATCTTACACTGTGTCTGAAGAGCGGGTCGACAATCGCAAACAATGGAGCGCATTCTGCTGGACAAACTCATACATCATTTACAAGCATAATTTTATCCGCATTATATGTTCTGTAAAAAAAAATAAAAAAGTTTGGTGATATAAGTGCGACAGGCTCATATCATACCGTTAAAACCGGCAGACTGATAAATTGGTCGGGGTCTAGTAAGAAGGAAAGAAAAGTAGTGGAAGCTAATGTTTAACATGCATGTGTGTATGAAGAGTTCAGATGCAAAAGCCTCTAAGTGCCATTTGAAATTTTCTTCTAGAATGATCATTTTTATCAAGCTTGTATATTTAAGTTCAGTGATTTCACTTAAATGGCAATGATAATTACCTATTAATTGTAATTTAAGTGAAATTACTGAACTTAAATATGCAAGTTTGATAAAAATCATCATTAAAGAAGAAAATTTCAAATGGCACTTAGAGGCTTTTACATCTGAACTCTTCGTATATAGACCAACAACTTTACAAAATAAATGTGTATGGGGTACAAGAACAAAATTTCAAGCAATTGGTGTGGCAAAATGACTTGACAGATTTATGATGTTTTTTTAGATTATAGGTTTAATACACAATATCTCTAAATCCTCCATGCCTTTTGTCACTGAAGGGTGAGTCACCGATACAGTGCCGCTGAGGCATCACCTTAGTGTGTTTCCAACTCCGAGGGATCTCAGATAGGATTAATGTTGCCATGGAAACTGAATTAGAGGGGCAATTTTCCATAAAAAAAAATTACTAGATTTGATTTTTGAAATGCAGTACTTTATTTAGCTTCAGTTTTGACCATTCAAGAGAGGTAGGGTGGTGTGACCTCAGCCACACATGATGATATGCACAGAGACCATGTACAAAAGGTAATGGGGACATAGCTGTGTGACATGCTTGATATTAAAGCCAAGTTCACACTAGGGCTGGGCGATATGGCCAAAAAATCATATCTCGATATTTTTTGGTCAAATGGCGATATACGATATATATCTCGGTACTTTCTACGTTTTCTATTTAGATAAAGAAAATCTTTATATTTAAAAAAATATATATATATATAAATTCACATTCGGCCCAATGATATCCTACAAACAATGTTGATATTGAAGGATATGGAAACAAATATAATATAGGCTATGCAATATATTATGTGCAAAAAGCTTTTGTTTTTATATTGACTAAAAGCTAAACTAAAAATGAAAATAAAAACAAAAACAAACGCACAAACTAATTATATTAGCCTGCATTTGATTACCCCATTATAATCACTTTCACTTTCATTAAAAATATATACTTGTAGGTTTAAAATTCCACATATGACACATTTATTTTCTCCAACAACAAATATTTTAGCAATATGTTTATTTTAGTCAGAATTATTGCGTACTACGTAGTACTATTCACGCGCATGCGCGCGCCGGCGCTCGTTCAAGGAAGCATGAATTTTAGCGGAGATTCACTTGCAGAAGCTCGTCCTCTTCTGACATGGACATATTTGTTGTGAAGTGGACATATTTGCTTTACTTTCTAACATTTACAGATGGAGAATATACCTGTGAAATGTAAGTTGAGCACTGAGGAAAGCACCACATCTCAAACGCATTAAACAGCGCAAGTATATCTGTCAGTCAGCAACAGTGTCTGTCAGAGCATTTGACAGGGCGGCAAGCTGCCTTAAACTTGTTAACTATATCAAAGTGATTTTGACGCAATTAATATAAGCTTGTGTCATGTTTAGGACAAATTGTACTACGTAGCCTAGCTACTTTCACTGCAGCAGCTCACACTGCAACCTCCGCTATTTTTCAGATGTGCTCATATCAAACTACTGTATCGATATAAACGGTATTGCCTCATTCCATATCGTTTCAAAAATATAACGATACATCGTAGATACTCGATATATCGCCCAGCCCTAGTTCACACTACAGGATTTTAAGCCCAATTTATGCCCGATTTGCAAATCGTTGAGCTCGCCGACAGGTCAGGGTGTTATCGCGTGCAAATCGCGGGAGATTAGCGGACGATGAACGCCCTGCCAATCTGTTTGTAAGTATGAAAGAGCCAACAACGCAGCGAAAACGCTCGCAGGCGCCTCGCAGACGCGTCGCCGAGCCCAGAAAAATATCTAGCCTGCTACAGTAGATATCCAGAGCTGTTGCGCTACTCAAACTCAAAGTGATGTCATGAGTACAGCCAATCAACGCATGGGTTGAGGACACCAGGTAAATCTTAGTTTTTCTTTTCTTTTTTGCATTTTTTTTTCTCAGAGCAGATCGTCGAGCAAACAGTGTGCAGCACTAGTTTCTGTCTGACGTCCATATTCGCGTGTTGTGTTCTTCTCTGCAGTTTCGCGTCATTTGTGGTTCGTTTATTGCGTGGTTTTTCGTGACAAAACATGGTTTCTAGACCAGATAGAATCGTTGGGTGACAGAGTTGTTGTCAAATCGTTATTTATTTGATTATTTTCATGATTTAGACGTAACATAGTACTGAAACAGCTCTCATTGAGTCACAAATGATTTGCTCTTATCATCCGATCGTGGTTGTATCTCTATGTAGTGCGTTGTCAACTCGTGTAGTGAGTTACCTCCTGTTGTGGATCAATCACGTTGTGTTGTGTGGTGTGAACGGCTAAACAACTTGAACACTCCTGATTTCACTGAGAGTAAGTCATGTAGTGTGAACCGCACAGTTCAGCCCGACGTTTTAAAATCCTGTAGTGTGAACAAGGCTTAAAAGGCCCCTATGTATTCAACAATTTGATCCCTTAAAACCCAACTTTGATCACTACAATGACATTTATAAATAACTCTACGAGTCACTGAGTCTAAAAAAAAGTCAACAAACTAAAAAAAAAAGAGGGTTTTTTTAGGTAATATGTAATGTAATCGTAATAAAATACATAATAATATGTCATTGGTAAACAAGTATCGTATTGAAATTTTTTAACGATGCCCAGCCCTAAAAGACAGTTTTATGTAATAGTGGCCCACAGCTGCTCAGCATAAGTAAGACAGTAATAACGTGAGTTAGCTGGTTAGCTGGAGGCCTACACAATAAAAAACACGAAACTACGTATCTGAAAACCAGGTAAAAAATATATACATCAATATTTATTCATGCTAACAGGTTGTGATTCTGAGGAGCAAGCTGGTCCAAATAAACTGGGTACTGACCCATCTTTCAAGAGCAAGCGTTTTGCGAATCCCGCGTTGAACTCAGAGATTTGAGAAGCAGTCGTGTGACGTGTAAAATGACGTGTTTGAGGGCTGGTCAATTTCGCGGGTGGACAGCATACAACTAAGGTGGGCATTATGCAAATGTATTTTCGTGATGTAGAACCGTTACGCAGTGGGATTCTTTCTTTTGGGAGACAATAGCTTTATTTCTCGTGCACTTTCGACCCTACAACTTTGCAGAGCATTCATATTCACAAACAGCTATATTACACACTGCATGAGGGAATATTCGAAAACCATAAATGAGGCACTTTAATCAAACAACAAAAGACAAAGAGCTTTAATAAGAATCTAAGAAAAAAAACCCAACTCAGTGTTTCCGCTACATTCATTCTCCTGTGGCGGGCCGGCACACTTAAAATCCTCCCGCCACGGCTGCAGCTTTTCAGTGACGTCTGAAATTCTGCATATTGTGTTATTTATTTTGTTAAGCCCCACTAAAGGCATAAAAAACTTTGTAAAGCACAATCAAGTTTTCGCACTATATTCCAAGACTTCTAAAGTCATTCAATAGCATAATGTGTGGTAAAATTAATATTTTAGTCTCTAAGTTAAAGTTAACGGAAAGTCATCTCGCCTCAGTCATTCTCCATGCATCAGCATTCACACAGCGCGTCGCGTTCGGTTGCGACAGTAACACGACGACACTCTCTTCAAGATCAATGTTCCTGATATTATACTTTATTTAGTAGATAAAGCATAAAGGTCTATGATTTGCATAAAATGACTATCTTGCTGGAGTGGAGTTTATTGCCCTTTAGAATACACTAAGCACTAGTGCTGCACGATTAATCATATCGCAGACGTAATAGCGATCTCAAACTTATGCAATTATATAACGCAAAATGCCGCGATTTTATGAAATAAACAAATTAGGGCTATTAACGCAGCATCTCTTCTTTTTTGTCATCCTTTGACTAGTGTTACAAGATCCCCCTCTTATTGGTGCAAATGCCTTTTCGCATTTTGCACGAAAAGAAGTGAAAAGCTGCCTGTGAGTGCCCTAGATTAGAATAGATGAGACTCGCATAATGCGCATGCACTGACCGCGTGCCAGAATAAACATTTCTCTTTCGAGCTTGAACGAACAATAGCACACACAATTATGCCAAAATGTCGTTTTGTCTAGTATCTTCATAACATAAGAAAAGTCTATGGATGAAAAGAGTTGTGCGCTATGAGGCGCGTGTGAGATCCGCGTCTTCGGCAACGGGTTCTCTTAAAGGGCCAGCAGCGAATAAAGCGTTCTGTCAGTAAAGTTAAAAGAACAAAGGGAAATTAGAAAATTACTCACTGATCTTGACTAAAGAACTTTTGTAGCTTTAATAAGGATTATTCTATATATAATTTATGATTCATGCAGCGCAGACTGTTTGATAACTTTATTCAATTTCTGTACCTGTTAAGACAGGAAGGGCACAGGTAAATATGTTTTTTTATTATGGGTTTATGTGGGGATTGTTTGAAGTTCACTTAATTTAAAAGCTGTTATATAATTTTTTTAAGCCTAATAATTTTTTAAAAAGTTGATAGCTTTCAATTGTAATGATGGAATCACTGTAATGTTGGTTTGGTTGATGGTTTATTGATCATTATAGGTGTTATCATTTATTGTTGTTATTGTTTTTAGTTTGAGTTGAGAAATAAACAGTAATCTGTGTGTGCATTTTACTTTAGAACCAAGCAAGTTGGATTCATGAAACCATTTTATTATATCAGAGTCGCAAATCGCAATTGCAATATTGGCTCAATAATGGCAATATGACATTTTCCCCAAATCGTGCAGCCCTACTAAGCATAGATTATAGATATCATCCCTTCGCTATGTTCTTTTCAATGTGAAGCGTTGCGTGCTGTGACTTGGTGTTGCTTCAAGTGCATCATTCTGCACACGGGATGCGCATGATCGCTTATAATACTTTGGGGGAGACAAGGGGGCGTGGCCTAAGGGAATATCACTCGTGGGCCACGCCCCCACAGCTTGAAAAAATCCTAGAGGAAACACTGCCCCAACTCATTAGACTTTGGTAATAATCGTCCATGCCTATCGTCTTAAAGGGATACTCCACTTTTTTTTGGAAATAGGCTCATTTTACCACAAACGAGTTTTACCGTTTTCAAATCCATTCAGACGATTTTCTGATATTTAGAAGAATATCAGTAACCAGACAGTTTCTATAGTCAATGAGACCAGAATTTGTCTGGTTACTGATATTCTTCTAAATATCAGAAAATCAGCTGAATGGATTTGAAAACGGTAAAACTCAACTGTTTAACTCTGAGGGAGTTGTAAAATGAGCCTATTTCCAAAAAAAGTGGAGTATCCCTTTAATTTCTCATGATTATAATACTGACCAAAGTAACGCTGATAGAATTGATTATATGAATGATTTATTTTTTTATTTTTTTGGCATAATCGCAGCCCCTAAATGGGATTCATTGATGTATGTCTGCATAGGGATATTTGTGCCCTCTCACCATGATGACAGCTTCGGGGTAGATGGACTCTGTGACCACCTCACGGTTGTGTGTGATGTACTCCACCATTTCATTAAGGCCGGCTCTCTTCACCTCCTTGTACTTGAGATCACTTAGTGGATCAGTCACAAAATCAAAAAGCACACAGCACTGCCGCAGTTTCTGGACAAACAGTTCTTCTCGATCCAAGGGCGGGGCATCTGGAATAGAAGACACAATAAACAAAACAGGCTGAGTGACACCTGTCCGGCACAACTGTCAATCAAACCAACCTGCAAACCTCGCAGGGAAGATTTCTAATACCTCTTACTGTGCAGTTTCACACCAACACACCATTTAAGCAGAGGCTCTCTGGTCCACCAGAGTCTCATTTACACCCTCCTCTCACCTTGCCCATGAACCTTGTGTCTGTCCAAGTGCTGTGAACTGTGTGTCCTTGCATGAGCTTATAGAAAGTAACACTGTTCTGCCAAGGCATTACACTGCTGCAATTATAAGACCATAATGGCTCAACTGGAATCAGATGACCAAGTACTAGGGATGGGTAATATAATATATGATAATATATTTTAAAATGTAATTTATTCCTGTGATCATTACTCCAGTCTTCAGTGTCGCATGATCCTTCAGACATTCTGATATGCTGATATGGTTCCTCAAGAAACATTTCTTATTACTATTGTTGAAAACTATTGTGCAGCTTAATATTATTGTAGATTTTTCAGAATTTCTTGATGAATGGAAAGTTCATTAATAGAATAATTCTAAAGGACAGCGTTTATTTGAAACAGAACTTTGTAACAATGGAAAAACTTTTGATAAATATCTGTTCTTGCATATAAAACTTTGATTCAGTGATTAAATTGCATCATAAAGTCCCAAGGTAGGCCTGTCACGATAACAAGGTTTGCTGGACAATAAATCGTCCAAGAAATTATTGCGATAAATGATAATATTGTCGTTCAGAGACCATTTACATCTAAATTTAATGATAATGGCATAGCAGGTACACCTTTTGAAAGATCTATAAACTTTTATTTCTAAAGACCATTTAACACTGAAAATGGAAAACATTTTAAATATCCAGAATAAATGAACAAAACAATAAAAGCAATGGACTCTCAGTCTCTGTTAACAAAAAATGCACTTGAATAAATACCAAAAACAATAAATAAAATGGATGTAAACAAAACCTGACCATACCCTATGAAGAACTATTTGTTATTAAAGCATTAACACACATTAATTTAATATATAATTTAATATAAAAACGTGATTAATTGATTTATCGACTATCGCGACAGGCCTATCCCCATGTGGCTTTTTTCACATATTAAAATGTATTAAATGTATTTAAAGTGTAAATGGAAATATCTAAATATATGTTACTATGTATTGTTATTTTGGTACATATAAATTAACAATCAGTTTTAAATATTCACAACAAATGGCTATTGCTTTTTCTCTCTCAACGATCAATTTCAGACTAAACATAGGCCTTAAAAGGGAAATATATAATAATATAATCATTAATTTTACATTCTCTTATATCAAATACCACAACTACTTTTCACTATTAACGCAAGGAAAAACTAAAATATTCAGTCAGCAAATCAGGCTAATTTGTCATTTTAAAATCACACAGCAGCAGACCCTGTCCGTCGAGGGGGACGGCACGGTAACGAGGAGAGGATGGGGGATTGATCCATTTTTGAGCAGCGTAGGGGACGGAATAAAAACGCAGGACTAAAATCTGGGGCACGGATGACAGCTTCAATGAATCTATATTAAACGGGATCCACGGAGAGCGGCACTGCAGCAGCTCCACCAGAACATTATAACATCCCGTTTCACATGTCAACAAACACAAACGGCACAATAGCTGGAATCTAATTGCAGAGGAGATCTCAAACAAACAGCTATTACTGTGAGATTTGCATGATTTTTGTAACTCTTTGATGGTGTCCTGCATCTCGATTGTGTGCATGCATGAAACGTGTGTGCCGTATCTTTAACCCTGCTGAATTCTTTCAACAATGCTTTATGCTGGCGGATGACAGCAGGATTTCCAGAATAGCTGCAGGCCATGAACCTCATCATCCTGTACCAGGCCAGCAGTCTGAAGTGGGAGTGTGTGATTCGGAGATCTTATGCAATGCCAGAGGAAAAGCTCTGGGAGTGATGAGAGGAGGAATGGAGGAAGACGATGGCCTGCTGCCAGCAGGTTTTCTGCTGATGAATGCACAGGATTGCTTACATATTGATCTAATCAAATCAAATTTGCACTAGTCTAGTATGCATATAAAAGCATGAAACTACATAATCAGAGTCAGAAGACAATGATAAATGGTGGGGGTGCACCCATTATGAAACTTGAGGCAGATACTGATGGCTAATCATTTATTTGACCACTCTTGTGTATTAGGGGTTGGCAATATACCGGCTGAAACTACAGAGGTGGGCAATGATATAGTGGTATACATTTCTCAACTGTTCCAAATGAATTCAAATGTGTAATGCATTAGATATAAATGTATTTTCGTTGATGCTTCAAAATGTGTACATTGCTATATATATATATATATATATATATATATATATATATATATATATATATATATATATGGTTATGGACCAAAAATAAGAATACTGTGTTTTGAGATATTAGAGTCAACTCCATAAAGAAGACCTTTTTTTAAAGACCTTTTAGGCCATCCTTAAAAAATATTTTGGTTTGCAGTAACAGCAATTTTTTTTTTTAAAAAGGGTCGGAAGGTAGGTCTATTTTTTTTTTTTTTTCAAGATTCAGTGTAAAAAAAAAAGGACAACTTTGGTCATGGTGATCGTGAATTTTTTTTTTTTTTTAAATGCATTTTGTGACATCAATGACTGGATCTTCAAACTGTGCATCCACCGCTAGGTGTTAATGCAACCTACAACCAGTTACATTTTAGGCCAGTCACAAAATGTTTAAAATATCTATTTGTTGTGCATATACATGAGATAGGCAAAAACAAGTACAAACACATGGTCAAACAAAGAATACAATTAAACAAAGATACGAATTAGCCTATATACACAGTGCTTTAATTTCAGGAAGGTCTAAAATTAGCTACTTTTCAGTTAAGTCTGTCGCTCTGTCTGAAAAGAAATTTAATTTAGTAATCAAATGTAAAATGACACTGCATAGTTTATCATAGTTAGATTAATGCTTATTAAAGTTTAAGTTATTTATATATAGCATTCAATTGATAAAAAGTGACAGTAAAGACGTCTATCAAGATTTCTATCAATTTCTTGTTACAAAAAGATTTCTATTTCTAGATGTATATTCCAAATAAATGCTGTTCCTTCCTTTTGATTTAGTAATAATGCATTTTTGATGCAATGAATGCAGTCTTGGTGAGCAGAAGAGACTCATTAAAGAAGCATTACAAAAACCTCAAACCCCAAATTTCTGAACAGCAGAGAAATGTCCATTAGTGGCACCAAAACTGCTCCAGTCCTATTAGGACCCGATACGACTCTCTTTAGGATTGTGTTTAGCTTAAGTGATGCAAATCAGTAATAATTAAGCATCTCTGAGCCATTAAGATAATTGCAAGCTAAACTGTTATTACTTTCACCACAGGGGACATACAGTACTGTAACTCTGGTGAGCGTTTGAATTGGATGAGTGACACTTGTGAGACTGAGTGTGCCATTTGTACCGGTGCACGACTGCCGGCACTCGTTACATCAAGTATTCTCAGATTTGTCTAGTCACTATTTCGTTTGTCAAATTATTAAAGGTACAATATGCAAGATTGGTTCGCCACCAGGGGTCGCTAACCTCTTACAATAACAAAGACGTATATAATGACGTATATTATGCATTAAGCGGAATTATGGATCTTGTCGTCAAGCTGATGGATCTTTTATGGATGAGTGATTACACTGATGTTTTTAACATGACTGTGGTGTGAAGCAGGGCGCGATTGCTAGACGTATACCAGCGCCACACGCAACGCGAGTCCCGCGGATATAAAGGAATAAGGACATTTAATTCTACCAAACTACATGCTGAATTGCTCACAGGTCAGTTTATTAGAGGAATTAAACTCGAGGTAACGCAGTGCAGTTTCACGTGCTCTAACAGTTTCACTATCACACTAAACTGCATTTGTGTGTTGAATGTTGTTAGTTAGGTTGTTTGTTGGCTTTATGAGACTAACTAAGCTAGAGTAAAACTAATCAATGTTTTAGTAGTTCAACATGATGAAAAGTTAAAATATGATCGGTATGTTATTCTCTAATGTTAATCTAGCTTAGTTAGTCTCATAAAGCCAACAAACAACCTAACTAACAACATTCAACATTCACATTAATTTGCTCACCTGTTTGCTCAAGTAACATGCAACACTCCACCAAGTCTGTCAAGTCGGAGTTAGTCGCGGACGTGGAGCTCTCGGCATCCCGAAAGATGTTGATCTTCGTTTTAGTCCTCTTTTTGTCTCAAAGTCTGCTTGCCATGGTCCATAATGTTTGAATAAAACCCTGCTAGGGACGCTCACGCTGTTGAGCACGCATAAAGGACATAACCGACCCAGTTGTCCACGTCTGTCGCCATGGTTACTGTTGCAGTACAAGGTCAAACCTGGTGGAAACCGGGGGTAACGCAGATACGACGTCATTGACTGGCGACTCCTCACCCCTGCTCACACGCCCCGTTTCCTTGGTTAAAAATCGCAATTTTCTCAGGGTTTACTAATAGTTGTAAACATTTGGGATATTGTAAGTAATCAACAAAACAAATTATATAACATTGGCCTAGTGGTTTTTGGATATTTTACTGCAAAAATCCTGCATATTGTACCTTTAAGTGAATATGCAAAATTACTCTAATCAATGATGCTCAAAAAAATCATACATTTTGTACTTTATTTTTCAAAACCACCCATCATGAACATGTATTACAGTACATGTCCTCTGAATTGCAAAATTTCATTTACGTTGCCTCAGATACACCCCAGTATTTTATTTCTATTGGCCAATCAGAACACATACTAAAGTAAAGCTCTCATGCAGAACCTTTACACTAAAGGCCATTGCACACCGAGCACGGAATATTCGTATGCGTATTTTCGTGTTCGTCAGCTTAAAAATTCGTCACGCATAGAAACCTTGCACACCGAGTCCGTTGCGTATTTCTTAAACCTTT